AGTGATACTGTGGGTTTGTACAATTTAAGTATGGTACGTTTCACGTTTTCATCCGTGTGGTGACGGATTAGGAATACGGAGTGTCACCGGCCTATTCATCCCGTTAGTGTCCTAAGAGGCGACTAAGGAGCTAACTACGCAAGACAACAAAATTCCAAGAGAAGGAAAACTTGACACGTAACCTTTTTTTTACGTGTCGGGCCGTGTTTGCGGCAGGGTGGTGTGTCACTCTATACCAAACCGTCTGGCCAGCAATGTATAGTAGGCCAAAACCTCCTTTCTAAGGAGAGGCCTATGCCCTTTAATATTCCACTGCTGGACATAGGCCTTACCTTAGAAAGGAGGTTAGTAGTATAGTAGGCCAAAACCTCCTTTCTAACAGGTAATAATTAATGGAATATCCATCATTGAATATGAATTTTATTAATATTTATTTGGGTGACCTATTTGCCGCAGGGGCACCAAGCATTCTGCTGTATTCGCCCTAATTTCATGGATTCATGTTGGGTTTATGGTAAATGAATGTGTGTACTCGTATATTATTCTATACTTACTTGTTTATTCATGTTACAGATTTTGGGTTATGACAGCCCTCTGTTATACAATTTCAATAATAAATATTAGATCAATGGATATTAACTCTGTACACTGTAGAGCTGTCACAGAGAATCAAACAATTAATATTAATACACTTGACCATTATGTTAGTTACGTGATTAAGTTTCGAAATAGTTTTGTCATTTTAATATTCTGGGTCATATTAAACAGCGATAATATGCTTAACAGAGGAAAGAACGATACTCCAGAAAGTAGCATGAAAAGTTCTAGCATATGTGGGTATATTCCTTCATAGTACCAGCTCTGCTTAGTTTGAAACTAGATGGCGCTGCGTGTCAGATGTTCGAAATATTACATATGTACGAGTACTTTCTATTTTTATTCAACCTCCTTTCTGGTTGACCCTTGTGGTTTTCTTGTATACAATATGATATGTATGTCTTCATGCAACATTCATAACGTCCAACTTTCGCATTAATGATAAGTCGGCTAAAGGGGTTGAGATGAATAGATGTTGACTCAGCATACTGTAGGGCTGTCACGTATACAAGGTTATGAATACCAGGAAGATACTTAAATTTTAAAGTAAAATTGGAACGGAAGTAATTGTTTTTAATTATAGCTACAAAAATAAACAATATCAGAACCAAAACGAATTATAAAAAATATTTGATTCCAGACACTATTATGAAAGCAAATGTATAATTTATAAAATACATTGTACAATAATATACTTTGTATTAATACTCATAAACATAATAATAATACAATTATAAATGACGTAGATAGCGGCAGAAATAATAATAATAACCTCACACATCTCACACACGGCCGTCTGACCAAACTAGGCAGAGCCTGTGCTATGTTAACTACACTGCTGATAAACATACTTATATATATTTTTAAATACATACTTATTAAAAATAAATTACATTCAGACATAAAACAGATGACCGTGCTCATCACACAATATTTGTCCTGGGTGGGAATCGAACCCACGACCTCCGGCTTAGCAGTGAGGGTCACTATCCACTAGACAACAGCTCCGTCAAAAAGAAAAGAATTTTTTTAAGAGAAAAGAAGATTGGCAGTTTTGCCTAAACTTCTATGAATATTACATAACTCGAAGTTACAAAACTCAGAGTGCTCTAGTTCTGATAGGACAGAATTGAGCCAAGGATTAGCAGAAGTCCACTTGGCAAATCAACTCGGGATCCTGTAAAATTACGTGCTCACTTTCGACAATAATATAACACAAATATTACTTTCCTTTATAGACGGACAAGATGATTCAATAAAAAATAAACAGCGTTAGTAAATATTGACATCCCTAACGACTTACTGACAACCCTCCGGTCCCCTCCGTAAAGCAAACAGAGGGAAGTAACATTTTCCGCAGCTCATTTTCCCCATTCCACTTGCAAATAATTTTTATGTATGTTTATTTTCGAATTATTTTATACCGCTCCTTAATCTGCAATCCATATGATTTTTTGAAATCAATTTTACGGATTCGTTGTGATAGCCTACGCGCGACGTTTAAAATTATTTGCCCTCATTTCTATAAAGGTTTTTAAAAGCTTCCTCGGAGCTGATCGACCCCCTTGATGTCCCGCGTTATGTTGATTTCGACGTTTGACTGAGATGTTAACTCTCTCTCTCGATGAGATCTATCTGCTAGCAGCACCATAGGTAAACGATTAAAAATATATTTTATTTAAAATGCTAAAGTTAATGCACCATGTCTTATAGATAAAACGGCAAACGTAGTGTAGGAAGCCCACAGGCCAGGTGAAGTGACGATTTGCACAAGATGGCTGGCAGGAACTGGATGCAAGAAGCCCAAAATCGATCTAGGTGGCGTGCAATGGGAGAGGCCTATGTCCAGCAGTTGACTGCGATAGGCTGATGATGATGATGTCTTATAGATATTTAAGCATCAAGCATAGATTTATTTATCATATAACAACATTACTCAGCTAACAACCATAAAACTTGCTTTAAAAACTTTTTGTATATTAGCAGATTACTAAATTTTAAAGGCTACGAATGTTTTACTGTGAATTCATAGATCTTTATTAAATAGACATGTTTTTTTCAAGTTCTTTGTTTTCACAGTTTTAAGAGATATCATTAAAGTCAACAATGTCGAATATAGTGTTTGAGCATTTACCGAATTGGATGATTAACAGTGTTAAATCACAGAAATATGCTTTGTATTTGACTTGCGTTGATTTATTAATAGACCTCGTCAATAACTTAGGTGCTTGAATATATTTTTTCGGTGGCAAACTTTCTTATAAAGCATTTCGTTAAAGCTACGTACCCTAAGTTATATGTTTACTGTTCACGAGTCAAAGGTTAATGGATGCCATCAAACTTGTTACCGTCTTGTTACTGACATTATGGCGTTACGGTAAATACCGTTTAATGTCGATACTTAAACCGCTGCCTTAACTTCAAACCAGTTTGTAGTTTGAACTACAGTAATTACTGAAGTTAATTAAATTACGAAGTTCATACTCCCTCCAAAGTAACAGAGCAAACTTTCCACCACATCGTATCGTAATGATTTTAATTACACCTAATACAGCAACGGAGGTGAACATAAGGTTAACACCAGTTTTCTGTGATACCACGGCCTTACAGAAAAGTGCACTAAGCACTTTTTTCGTTGCCTTCCACCAAGTGAGTGAGGTTGCTGAAACCCATTTCCCCTGATTCTGGGGATAGAGACTCTTAGAGTTGAAAATGTCAATGGGCGGCGGTAGTCACTTACTATAGTAGGTAGGGTAGTAACCCTTCTGCTCGTTTGCCCTCCCATGCCATTAAAAAAGAACTAATTTTAGCAACCCTATAGTATGAAATATTATTTTCACCCAAAAGTAAAAAATAACTACATTTAAACGATCTTCGTTCTTAAGCGCAAATAGTCAAGTATCTACGTGACAAACGGTCCAATTAAAAAAAAAACAGGCTCACTAAATGTTGCCACAATATAAACAATTAAAAAAATAAGGCATGACCATTACCACGGCGATTGTAACACAAACATACCCTAATCGCCTAACTGCCATTTTCCTTAAGACTGAAAGTGAACACGCCACATCGTCACGATACCTACGTTTAAACGAACTTGGCCAGCAGCCAGGGTCATCTTTGAACGTATGCGTAAAGTTATGAGTAAGTATTTGTGAAAAGGGAAAAGTTTTGTCCCCAAAACTATTATAATGCAACATAAAAAAAATCGTCGTAAGCACAATACAAAAATTTCATAGGACCATTGAAAACGAGTGTTAAACAATTCCTTTGTTACATTTGACCGAGTAAGTGTGGAAAAAGGGAGCCCAGCCTAGGTTTTGGGCAGGGACTGAGTCTGCCGTGACTGGACTGACCTAGAAAATCATTGCACAATTTTTTATCTATTGCTTAAACGACCACGCAGAACTAGTTGTCCCTAGGGTATTTAATTAGTCGTTTCGAAAAAATGGTTCCCAAAAGCAACACAAACTGGTAAAAGTAGTGCGAATAGAGTAATTTGTATAAATTACCAATTCATTAAGGGTCGACTGTTGGGTCTTCGCGTGATTACTAGATATTTGTTTCGTTTTCCCTTTCAACCTTTGTTTGGAGACAAATGACAGTTACTGGCCGCAGCAAGTGAGAGTACAAGTCAGCATTTATTTGTACTAAGTTCATGAAACTTTGACATTAAATTTGATATTATCTAATTACCAAATTCAGGAAGTTAGGTATATCATGATAAATGCTCTTAATACATTGAGTCACCACAAGGAATTTACTAGATATATGAAAACCTAACAAATATTCAGTTATAATAGGGATAATAGTTACCCTTTTTTTTTCCTTGCTCAAATCCCCTCGGATACCAACTATCAGTGGCATGTCGGACTCGAAACGACTAAAACCGCAGGCCGTCTCGGGTACTAATAGCCGGGGAACCAGGTATACCCTAGAGGGATAATAGTTACCCTGCGACAATTTTGATATGCTGGTTAGTTCCATAAAACGAATAATAGCCTGAAGTTTTGGGTCTACAATATTTTTATTGTAAGGAGGAATATGGAATAACAAAATTAACACAAACCAATTCATATTAATCACTATAAAATACTATGTTAAACGGCGCTGAAATATTAATCTAGAAGTATTGCGTGACTATTTTTTCATCAACCCTCTCTCATATTACACTTTTGATAAGTTCAAGCGTACTGGGGTTTGAACTTGTCGTGACTAATATAATCTTATAACTAGGCACGCTTCAGTTTTTTACAAGTGAAAATATTTCACATTTTAAGAACGAATATTAAATCTGGATCTTTTATAATATCCACACATATTTTAACCACTTTTCTAAGTTAAACTTCAATAAGAAAACAAGTTATCAAAGATGTGTTTTTCTCCGTATACTGTAAATTCATATGTTTTCCAGTACACTAACCAAAAACGATGTCATTCGTATCGCAAACGGTCGCTGGCCTGAGCCAAACCCGACGCAAGGATCCTCCTCCCCGACAGCACTGCTCTCATCAACACGCTCACCGCCACACGCAGCTCAGCCGAAAGAACAGCCTCCCAGAATGGGACCCACCAGAAATCAGAACCAGGAAAAACAGCCTACCAGCAGATATCATGGACAGATTGACGGAACCCACCACCAGCCCTATATTAGAAGAGTGACAACTGTCCCCGTAAGTTTTGGTGTCCCCGTCACTCTAGTAAGCATGGATGCACTCCAATGTATTGCACAGGACGAAGAGAAAGGCTTTATGGTGCAGCCCCTTGCATGTTTAGAGGCTTATGTGATTAGGGGATGACCCTGCACGAACCCTATAGATATATGTTGTGCGTAAATGTATGTAATGAATGAAAAAGAATTGAAATAATTGTGATAAAGATATTCTGAGAGTATTTTGAAGATGTGGTTGTAAATGAAAGCAACTCAATGAAGAAACGGTAAATATTATCATGTATAAATACCTATTCGAAGATTGTCTTCTATTGTGAACAGACAAATATGGATATTTGGTCTAAGAAAATGTTTTGGAAGACAATATCTTATTTGAGTTGCTATAACCGAGGCAATGACACTAAACAGACAATGTTAATTTAGCCTTAAAACAAAACACTAAGCGTTGACGTGTCTAGCGTCTAGACACATACACTTATTTGATTATTCAAGTCCATTGAAATTGCTACTGATACCATTCATGAATATAATTAGTTAATTCTGTCCTACCTTTTGAAATTTCTTTCAAAAGTTTACTATTATTATTACATGGCTTTAATGCCATTAATAGGTTTTACATACCTTTGAATTGTCTGAACTGATTGCACTGGCTGTGGTCACAAGCTGGCTGTCTGTTGACAGTTCAAAATAATGTAAGACCTACTTATCGTTAGTTTATCCTCATGTTAATATAAAATCCTTTAATTGTGTTATTAATTTTATTCCTTTTTCTTATACTGTAGTTATCTCTATATGTATTTACATACAATAAAATTTTAAATATAATTGAATGTTACAAATAATATGAGTAATATTGAAGAACGAAACATGATGTTCAGTGAAGTAGAAGAAAACAGTGATCCGTATTTTAGAACAATATTGTTCAATTAAATGAAAGTTTAATTAATCTCCTTTTTAAGAAGAGGCCTATGTCCAGCAGTTGACTGTTAAGGGTAATGATGAGGTTAATGATGATGAAGACGAAAAAAAATTTTGTAACAATCAATAACTCTACCTGTCTAGTGTGTTACTTGACTGCAAAGCAATTAGTGAGCCAAATATTTAAGCTTCTATCAAGAAGTGCAACTCATTTTATTTGTATTTTCTGGCTCACATAATTGAATATTGCGTAAAACTGTTCGGAATTGAAATGACGATTAATGGAACTGTCTTATAAATCAAATGTCCTAAAATAGAACTTAAGTAAGTCCCTACAAACATGCAAACGCATTCAGTAATGATGTTAACTGACCATACTTCAGTTATTAGCAACATATATGGTATGGACCTCGACAGGTTGATTAGACGGAAATAGCCTCATAAATTTCGCAAGTGAACGTTAATAACATGTGGACCAGTGGCGTAGAAATTATAGGTAATTCTGCGAAATGTGAGCCAATAACGTTTTTACTTGATACTTGTTAAAATTTTATTGATTTAAGATCACCAAAGATAAAGAGTCATTTATTTTGTGAAAATAAATCTAGTTTACCGGTTGATGAAGGAATCTTGAAATATGGCTTCTTCGAAAAACTACAGTCCTAGTCGTAATTTTTATCTGAGATTTGCAGCATCCTTTATCCTAGCTGCTATTAATTTTCTTCCTTTGTCCTGTCTAAAAAGTAATGTATTCCCGAGTAGGGTCAACCTATTATGGTCTTCCGTTGGACGGAACGGCAACGGAAGGCCATAATAAAGCAGACAAAACTCTTAGCAAAACGCATAGCGCCAACTCTTAATAAAATTGAAAGGATATCAAGAAAATGTTGATGAATATATAAAATAAATATAATACAAGTAAGTTATCTTACTTTTGGATAAAACAATATAATACAATGTCGTTGCTAAAAAATGATAACAAAGAAAACAACTCTTAAGCTAAATACAAAGCTAAAAATAAAGCTAATCAGTCATTCCACTTCAGGCGGCTCTTGTTAGAAACAGAGTTTATTTGATGGACCTGCAAGGTCGACTAAACTTTCTCCTTACGTACATGCTAATATAGCACGCGAAGTTATTTCTGTGACCCATGCACGTGAATGCACAGCTGTATGTAGTTTAAGTCGACCTATACAAGCTGAAACCAGGAGCATTCGTGATAGAGTCAAAAGAAAAAATTACAATGTCGCTGACGCTATTAAAACAATTATTAATAAACACGGAAGAAACGAAAATGCATTTTATGAAGTAAAATTAAACGACTTCGATAAAAACAAATTCAAGAGGTTAGCGGTAGTAATTAAAAATACAATTACACTTCCAAAAGACTAAAAGTTGCCGCTTTCCATTTATTCATACTATTAGTCCAAAGTTGGAAATTCGACCGTAAGCAATTTATAAGAATAAAACTTAGTTTAAAATGAAAGAAAACTTTTTAAATTATTTTATTTATGACAGCTCCTTTAATAGCTACCTTAACCAAAAAAAGACATAATCGGTTGACAAAGATGAGTTGATGAGTTGACAATGAAAACCTGTTGTTAACTCTTTTGTCGTTCCTTGTGTGTTCTGTGGCCTAAAACTTTAGTAAATTTAAATCTAATTGTCAGTTCTACACATAATTGAGATCAATAAACAATGAAAGGAAAATACTCATCAATATTATTGAATAAAACTGTAGATATTTTAGTGGTCAGTACTTCTCTTTCATTAAATGTGTACACACCTAGTAAATCCCACTAGTGAACGAAATCAACCTTATATAACGTTAGAAATGTAGGTCGTATGATATCAAGTCACGCTGCGTTAAGTTCACGCTGATGAGTCATGAATATTCGATACCCTGCGCCGTCTCCCTCTTACTTATTAATAAATCTGGTAGTTATTAAAGCGAACCTTTGTACATTACAATCTCCTAAATGTTATTACGTGAAATTGATTTTGCCATCCAATAGAACTTTTCCCATTAATTCATCGGACTACTAGACGCAGACAAACTCTAACCGCAAAAATCGAATTACACCATCATCAAAGCCTGGAATGAGCTGTGTCCTGCGTATGTGTGAACCTGTATCTAGTTAAGTAAGTTCTAGATAATTATAATCCTGGAACTTTCGAGAGTAGAGTGGATAAGTTTTTGCTGGATTTCTAAGAGTTTGTCTTCGGCTCCGTCCTTCAATGTTATTTTAGTGAAAGCTGCTGGCATTCTATTAGGTTTCTGTGATCTGTATTGATGAGATCGTCGAAAATGTTACGTATATTTTTCTTAGTCTTATCTTGATATGTTAGATGAGTAATCATTCTCTCTAAATGTATAATATATATTTTCTAACTTCTTTTGATAGAAAATTGATATCAGGTTTTAATAAACCGTTTTGCATTAAGTTGATAATCAAGTTAATAGTAACACTAGTAAAAATAAGAATACGAAAAATGTAAAAAAAAGAGTTTTTCATCAACAAACGAATTTTTAATATGAAATTAAATTTATTTCGTGCATAGTACACGCTTAGTACATTGGCTATCTTTACTTAATTAGGTTTTATTTTAGGACTTTTATGAACCCAATACATAAATAAAGTATTTCTCAATAAAATCACTATGTTTATCATTTATCTTGACGACTGTTCAGTACCTCATGGTACTGAACAGTCGTCAATTAAAAAATTTTGTTCAATTATCATTAATTGAACAAAAATTTTTAATTGTAAATTTATACCTCTGTAGTTCAGGGACGATGAAATCTGAAACGAGGTTCAGATGTTGCTTTTTTGTTAACGAAAAGCCATACCCAGTACTGACGTCATCAACTATAATACAAGTGAAGGACACTGTACCAAACCTGAAAAAGAATACCATCATAAAAATGTAGATAAACGCGCTCTGATGGAACAAAAAATGCCAATCATTGATTTGAATTTAAATATTATAATAGTAAACATCTCAGTTTAAATAAAAAAACAAACAAAATATTGATTTTGTTATGGTTGTAGACAATTAAAATTAACTAAGATTTTAAATATGTATTTTTATTTTGTTACAGGCGGAGCGAGTTTCTAGGATGTGTCTCGTTCCCACTAAAAGATGCAATTAATTGCGACATATCCGGCACGTATTTTCTGCAGCAAGGCCCCGGACGCGGCCAGAACGCGGCACAAGCGTACACCAATGACAGATTTGTTAAGGACAGCGTGACTGAAGGGGATACACGCAAGATGGCTACCGACAACACTGAAACTAGCACTAACGAAGGCACCAAAGAAAACCATACTGATAAAGGTAAAAACAAGTAAATACGAGTATAAAGATAAAATAATACGTCAAATTAAACCTGTCAAATCCACTAACCTACCTAAAAACAAACTAACCAACCAGATGGTTGGTCATTAGTAGTAAAATAGTTATTTTCATCAAACCTATTTAAAAGGAAAATAAGAGCCTTGCAAATACCGTTTAAACTTAATTTCTCCAGGGGTAACGACAAATGGCCCAGCATCAACCGCAGTAAGCCAAGCGCAAGCAGTGGCAGCTGCTCTCCAGCGGGAGGCTGACGAGCACTTGTTCCTTAGGTATCTAGAGCTGGATCCACCAGAAGATCCCAATGCACCTAGAAGAGCGCAAAGAAATGGAAGGACGCCATTTACGACAACTAGAAAGTGAGTTCTTTCCTTAAAACTTAAATCCTGAGTGAGTTTCGATGATAATTTATCAAAACAATCTTGCATATGGCGCAAACAGCGAGCTTAAGTTACCTGTCTCTCATAATATGTAGCTAAATTAGACTTCTAACATTAGCGTTAATTGAAAGATTGCGAGACAATCTGATGTGAAACTATTAACGACGATTCCGGTAGAATTTCGCATGAGATTATTATCAAACATTTCATAAGAAATAAAAGGATATAGTACATTATTTTTCTATTGTCTACTTATTTTTATTTTCTTCTTTACTTTTTCTTTATTTATTAAAGGTATTTGCTACCTACAAATTATATTAAAGCTCTACTTCTAAATATTAATTATCGTTCCTTAATACTTAAGTTAAATTTATAATGATCGAAATGTTCTAAGAAGCTTAAAAATCTTGTAATTAACGTGACTTGACTTAACAATAACTTTTATGTACACAAAAAAATTGGGGTTATTCTTACAAAATCAATAATTAAACCATTATCTATCTTTCTAGACTCGTCCGTGGAACAAGTGGTGGTTTCGGCTTCACAGTAGTGTGGACCAGACCACCTAGGGTGGAGAGGGTTGCAGCAGGAGGATCTGCAGAACGTGCGGGGCTTCGGGCCGGAGATTATCTTGTGTTCGTGGGCAACAAGAACGTGGTTACTGGCAATGAAGAAGAAGTCCGAAATCTCGTTAAGTGAGTAATATTTCCTTTTGAGTATTTAGTATTGTTTTTTTCAAAATATTTCATTTGGGACAATAACTTTAAGACTTAAGAACTTCATAAAGATTGTAATATTAATTACAAGCATTATTTTCCTTTCAGGTCAGCGGGTCAGACGTTAATTCTAGAAACCTTTAGAAGAGTGCCACCAAACGGTGTTGGGATCCGACCAAAACTAGCACAGGTCACAATCCCTACTGCGGAATCTACACCTCCTCCTCCAAGATCTCCTCGTATAGCAGCCCTGGCGTCCCCGGCAACTGCAGCTAGGCCACCCACTGCCTGTTCCTCCACCAGTCAATCCTTGGACCGGCGCAAGCTCCATCTACCCCAAGTCACATTCTCCAAGGAGGTCGGTAACGGAATTATCGTTTGACATCGACACCTCATCGAATAATTTTGGATACTAGTCATCACGGCCTTCGTACTTGACACTAACTTGGGAACGTTCTTTTTTTATACTTTAACCGATCAATAGTCTAATTGAATGTCCAGATATATCAAATTCATTTTTTATCTTCAACTATTTTATTGCTACATTTGAAATTTATTCAAGTTTTTGACAAGTAATTTGGCCTTTAAATTCGAATTTATTATTTTGGTATTGAAGTATAATATTTTTTTATAAAATTGGTGCTAGTGTCGGACCTTATTTCTCGAATAGTAAAGTCATCGAACAATGTTATATGTACAGTAGCGTGTATCCTTTTTTTGTTATTAATTTTATTACTTTTTGTAAATACTTCACTATGCATTCCATTTTACTAATTACTTACGGCTAGATTTTTTATAGATCTTTTGTACTTAAGGTTTTTTAATGAAACTAATTAACGCATATGAGATCTATGTACAAATTCTATTTATTACTTTGTAAGTTGTGTTTATATGTATACGTTTTTATCGAAATGATATAATATTTCAAATTATTTCTTAAAATCTGCTGTCGACCAGGTCATAATTTGTATATCATGTTTTTTATCATTAGTGTTTAGGTTAAATTCATAGAAAGGGGAATCGTTACGTTTAAGCTTACTGTTTTTGTTAATATTTATTTTGTTAATGTTTCTTTTTTCTTTTCTTTGTCTTAATACTTGCGTGTTGTATTTTCATAGTACTCTTATCATAACAGTGTTTTTTTGTATACTTTCTTTTATGTAACCAATATTATGATTTTCTATCTTAATTTTAAATAATTTTATTTGCGTACTCGATAAAAATTGGTTCCTGTTGTTTTTATTTCGTTTTTTTAATTTATGTTCCTTAATTTTAAGTGCAAATAAATTTATTGCTTATATTTTTTGTTTGTCTTTATTTTTTAGTTAGCAATATTTTCTTTACTTTATTTTTCTAACTTGGTAATAATCAAAAATTCCACACAGTGAAGAGTGCACTTTTTTTATGACAGAGGTGGCAAACGAGCAGACGGGTCACCTGATGGAAAGCGACTACCGCCACCCATGACGCTTGCAACTCAGGAGTAACAACCACGTTGTAGGCCTTTGAGGAAGGAGTACGCTCTCGTCTTGAAGGTTTGAAGGTCCTATCGGTCCGGAAATACCACAGACGATTACTTGCTCCACAGATATGTTGTGCAAAGCAAAAGTGTCTAAGAGCTTACAGCGGTGGAGCGCCAATTATTCAACTGCTGGGGATGAAAATTTTGCCGTAAGGACCGATGGCAGAAAGTTGCGGTCGGTATTAGCCCGAACATTCTTCGGAGCACTCTCCATTACATATACGATAGAGAATGCAGAGTGAAAGAGAGATCAGATCGAGCCGATCGGAGATCTTTTGGCTATCTACGATTCGAATCGTTCTTCGTTGAATGCGGCCCAGAGGGAGAAGCTCGTACTGGGGTGCTCCGGCATAGAGATGCGAGTATTTCGTATGCGGCCGGACATACACCTTATAGAGTTGAAGGCGGTGGACCGGATTGAAATACTACCTCGATCTGTTCAGCAGATCGAGCTACTCCGAGGCTGATTTGACCTTAATCTCTAAGTGACCCCGAAACTAGACTTCGCTCGATATGTCGATGCCTAGAATTCCGATACTGGCTGAGGTAGTCAGGGAGGTGCTCGCAAACCAAGGTGATACTACAAAAGGTATCTTTTTGTGGTAAACGTGCATACATGTTTCTTTTTTGGATTAAAATGGACTAGATTTAGTCGACCATCTGAAACCTCCGCTAAGGAAGTTTTAATTTCAGACACAAGTTTGTTTCGATTCTCGATGACATTTTCCCGAGAAATATTGGAGTTTCCGGTATAGAGGGCAACTCAAGTACTATTATCCGCATAGCAATGGATGCTACTAATTTGCAACATGTCATTGATATGCAGAAGAAACAGTGTGGGTGATAGCACACAGCCTTGTATAGTACAGTAGTACACACAGTATTTACAGATTTGAAGTAGAAGCATGCACCATCTATAACGACCTTAATGCTTCTGTCTGCAAGGATACTGATGACCCCGTTACCATAACATTTTATCAACTTTGTAAAAATATCGTTGATTCTTTTCGCTATCTAGTGTGCTAGAGTGCTAGATTAGGCACAATCTGCAAGACTGCCTGTACCTACTTAATTTAAAGCATTTCTGATATCCAAACAGATATTACAGCAGGTCAAGGATGTGTCTGACATAAGAATTATCATATCCCAGAGTTTCTTAAGGTACTATTATTTTAACTGTTTAAATTTTTCGTCATTGATTCTTGCGTCTTTTTTGACTGGAGTATAGTAGAATGATCCAGAACATTTAACACACATACATGACGTATGAGGTGATTAGGTGCAAGGGAAAGGTACCTATTTGTATAAACTGCACGAAAACTAAAATAGTTCTCTATCTCTATAAATAAGATCTTTTCAACTCTATTACATCATTCAACATTGGGGAACTCAACGTTTTGAAAAATTGACATTTTTATAAAAAATATCCGATTAATAACTTATAATTTAGAACAAACTAAAAGAAGGCTTATACCAGTTAACGAATTTAAAGAAAAGAGTCTTTCATCAGATTTTCGTTACCAAGCCGAAACTGTCAAACTCGTCAAAGTAAATACTGTGAGTCTGAACTAAAGTGGTTTACTAGTAGCCAATGAAAAAATCCACCATCTACCTCCTGGCTTTATCCTAAAGTTGTTTATTACTTTAGGATGAAAAAGACTTTACTATACTCCAGTCAAAAATAAGGCCAGAATCAATGACGTACAGCCAAATTTAAACAGTTAAAATAATTGTACCTTAATTAGCTCTGGGATAAAATAATACATTATATTGTCAGGCACTTCCTTGACCTATTGTAACGAGACCAAGCGCCGTTTCACGAACAAAGAACAAAATAAAAATGATGAACGTTACAGGAAGTTTTTAACGATCGTAAATTCACCAATTTACAAAAACATTTAGGCGAAATCAAGCGTAATATCCGCATGAGGCTTTGATTGTTCTCGAAACTTTATTCTATATTTTTTATTATTTATTTATTTTATACTGACGGTGGTATTTACATACAACTTATTGATTTAGGAACCGCATCGCTATGATAAAAACTAAACTATGTGCAAGAGAATAAAAGGTATCTACATATGTATGTAGGCATTTCATACTATCCCCTATTAAGTAAGTCTGTTATGTATTTAAAGTAAATTTAAGAAAATTCTTGATCACCAGACGCCAGGTCTTTCAACTGACGGTAGAAAACGCGCTCTCCTAGCCGTAGTAGCAAGAGAACAACACTACGCCACCTGCGTGCAGTTCGGTCTGGTCAGATTCGTGTCGCCTCTTGCTGAACGAGCAGACCTAATAGCGCCCAATGATCACCAGCTGTTGTTCCAAAATATTGAAGAAGTAAGTAATGATAGTGTTTAAATAGAAGAGTCTGCTTCTATTATACATTATAAACTACATAACGTCTGTGGAGTTCTAACAGTGCGTAGGTTAAAAATGTCTAGTTTACAGAAGCACTGCAAATAAAAGGATAACTTGACACAAACCCTATACCAACCCGTCAAGCCAGCGTGGTATAGTAGGCCAAAACCTCCTTTCTAAGGAGAGACCAATGTCCAGCAGTGGACTATTAAAGGCTATTAAAGACTATTAAATTATGAGCTGTCAGACGAGCCAAATAACAGTGCTACTGATTGTGGTTATTTTACAACCTATTGATTTAGGAACCGCATCGCTATGATAAATACTACAAACACATCTTAATTGTCATAATTATTTTTCGGCATTTTATTTGGGATCCTGGCACAATGACAATTTATCCTACCACTGGCCAGAAGGGTTTGTTTCAAGTTTTCCTTCTCTATGCAGTGCTGTTATCGTACAGAGTTTGCTCTCTTAATCGGCTCTTACGACACCCATGGGATGAATAGGGATGGTGACGTATTCATAATCCACCATCAAATGAATATTTCAATTTTTAAATTATTTTGATTAGTAGTATAGTAGTATTTATTGATATAATGAATAAAAAAATATTTACAGGAATATCTTATGAATAATTTAGAAACTTAAAAGATTAATCGCATAATTTTAAGAAAACTATGTATATACAAAATAGAGAAGAGAATAAAAGGTAGATTGTTAGTGTTAGTAAGGTTAATGTTAATAACAAGGAAATGTTATAGAAACTTCCACAACATTTCCTTGTTACTAACATCTACTTTAATTATTGTATGCAATAAATAATAAAAGAAAAATAAATAAAATGATACCAGTCTTAAAATAATATGATTTATATTTTAATTCATAATATGAAAAGAAGAAAATTAACAATATCCATCCATTACAGATCTTCAGACTCTCAGAAGATATACTAGATCAAGTAGTACAGGATGATGGTGAAATCCAGACGTCGACGGTGGTTGCCGTCTATCTGCAGAAGACCCCTGTGTTCCTTAGTCTTTATAAGAAGTATTGCTTAGGCCTTAAAAGAGCTGACTGTGTTCTGGTAAGCGAATCAACACCATTATCATGGTCTTAAGGTCTTTTTCATCAGTGTTATTTAGAGCAACGAATTTCTTTTATTGCTGACCATCTATCTGATGTCAAGCCTTATTTGGAATGTGATCGGTTTTAAACGGGACAAAAAAAGAAAGTAAATTTGGATATAGAGAACGGCCAGGGGGAAGCAGCTAAAGTAAGAGATATGACAAGTCTCCAAGAGACCGCCAGACATAGCGAAATAGATGAAAAATATTTTGATGAAGGCAATTCAGTATAACTAAACCGAATAACTTTAGGAATGCGGACTTTCTAAGAATTTGTAGAAATAAATAAATATATTTTAATGTATTTAGTATCAAACTCCATGTTTTAGAAGACACAGTTTTGTTAGACTATTTAGTTCCGAGCAATTTTACGAGTAATACTATGTCTCATAATATTATTCCTGTATTAAACTGAACATTAAATTTAATACATCTGTCTGTGTTTGTAAACAAACATCTAATTCGAAATGTTTGCAATTTAGACCACGCTAAAATTTATAAGCAAATTAAAATCTTTTAGAATCTAATTTTTAGATTTCAATAGTAGTACAATTAGTATTAGGAATATAGTTGCCCAAATTAAATTATACCTGTATTGTTATTTCCACAGGTAAAAAAGTCTAAAGACCCAAGTGGAGCTTTCTCCCGCTTCTGCACAAGTCCACCAATTCCCCGGAGAAGACCGGACATAACTTCATTAGTACACAAACCCTTAGAGCAATTCCGAGAGCTTTTAAGATTAATTAGAGCAGCAGCTGCATCGAATGGTGCAGGGCCTTATGATCAACTAGAAAAGAAACAGCTTCAAGTGATAGTGGAACAATTGCAGGTAATTGTTTGTGGAGTACCCCACGCACAGTAAATCCACATTTATTGACCAAACTGTTATATTATTCATTTTTTTAACAGAAACCACTCGCTTAAGAGGTTTTAATGCGAGAGAGAGTTCGCTTTGCTTGTCTTAACAATATGACTTATCCAACTAATCTAGTATATGCTTATGTTCTATATGCGCCAGGAGGTAATTTTTCATCATTTTCGAGTAAGGCTAGGTTGTTATGTATTTATCAACTATTTTATCTGGTTAACCGTTACCGTTGAGGACTTTAGGTAGTAATTACCTACAAGTTATGTTACCATACAAGTTGTTGAAACGAGGTATAACATATCATCATCATATACAATGTTTACCAATTCTGCTTGCATTATGGCCAGTTTAATGTTACTTTGTATGGGTACTTGCACTGGCTGACTGAATCAGCAACGCAGAATCTAAACCGCTGGGACCAGAAATTTGAATTTTTTGCATCTGATGCTTTTTATGTTGTAAGCACCCACTAATAAAGGTTTTTTCCCTCCTAAGGGAGGAAAATAAGAGATGAAGGGTTGTATGGAAGGTCGTCATTTTTAAAGTTAGAAACACGAAATAAATCACGAGAGCGAAGCCGCAAGCAATAGCTAGTTTCACAACTTAACTTAGACGGCCTTGGTGGCGCAGACTGCTGTTTGAGGTCTCGGGTTCGATTCCCGGGTCAGACCAAAGGTTTGTGTGCTCTGCAAATATTTGTTTAGGAATTTGGGTGTTTTCTATGTATAATATGTATATATTTCCAAAAAAAATAGTATATAAGTATTCCATCAGTCAATCTAGTTTGCATAGTACAAGCTTTGCTTAGTTTGAAACTAGATAGCGTTGTGCATTAGATGTCCGAATTATTAAAAAAAAAAAACCATATATGTAATACCATCATATTCACTACTAATACTAGAAAATTTGTGAGTACTTTTCTTTTGGTTAGGTTGTCTTGAAAATAAAAACGTATATATTCTTATTCCACACGATAAGTTTCTATACGATTTGAAATTGCATCCCTGGTGGGGATCGAACCCACGACCTTTGGATTAGAAGTCCAACGCGCTATCCTCTGCGCCACAGGGACTGTGAACATAGTGTTCAAATAGTACTTTACTCTACAGTTAGGTACACTCATACGAAGACATTTCAATAAGTCGTGTCGCTCTTGCGTCATTGTATGTATTAATAACAAACGCGATAGGTATGAGTTATATGCTGAAGGTCATTTCTTTGTTTCTGAATTTAGTACATATTAATTAAAAAATCATATGTTAAAACTCGGTCGTTTATACAAATCAACTATTATCACGTTCGTTTAAGTACATCAAATTATACGTAAAACGTACCTATATTACACCTTGACTGAAACAAGAAATTCTTAAAACTTTGACTTTGAGACAGCGCAGTGGTCGTTTCACGACAATGGAGCACCGAGTGTTATAGTTTTGATTCTCAGACGGGACTATAAATTTGTGTGATTGTCAATTTTATCAGTTCTTTCTATATTTGTGACATAGGAACCATTGCTCATGTAGGAATTGGTTTAAAATAGAAAAGAAAAGCATAATTATTTTTTACATTTAAAATCTCAGTTTAGATTTTAGAAAACACACAAGCTACAGTTTAGAATATTTACTAAGAATCGCAAAATCTACACTAAAAGCTTCGGAACATCGGATTTTTGTGTAAAATTTTGTCTCGTTGGGGAATCTTTTCAACAAATTCCAATGCGGTGTTAAATTCTTCTTACCTCTGATTGACTTAAATTAAGATTTGATTTAATTTTTTCATCAATTTACCTACCAATACTAAGTAAAACATAATTTTCAGAGTGCGTATCAAGACGTTACGGCTGGGTCCGGACTAATGGGTCTCGCTGGTGACGGCAAACCGCTGCTATCTGTTGCCGACTTGGAGAGTCGACTTGTGTTCACTAGGTGTAAGGTAAAAAAACTCTAGATTATTTTTAATCTAAAACTCTCTAAATCTGAGCGGCGTTTGATGCCTTAATTCTATTTAGAATAAGGGCACCAAATGCCGCTCAGATGTCTCAATTAAGATATTATTAATACTAATTACAGTAATAATAGATTAAAGATTTAAAATATCTGTGATTTCCTGTAATGAAAATTTAAGCTGGTAATTTAGCATATTTTATTATTTGGTTCCTAAATACCACTTTTAAATACTTGAAATTATTAAATTACACTTTTACAACCTTGTGTATAAACTGTGTTGATACGAAATAAGTTAACCTAAAGAGTGCTAGCGTCGCTAACGGTTAGTAGACTTAATGGACCACAGAACATTATGAATTTTTTTTGGTACTGAATAAAAAGATTTATTTAGAATATCAATAAATTATCTCTTTTTTCCAGCCATTTGTGCTAAGTACAGCAGGACGTCAATGGATCTTTGGTGGTGAGCTGTCAAGAGTGGAAGGTCGAGCAGTAAGACCATATTGGGCATTATTGTTCAGTGACCTTCTACTCTTCGCCACTGTGTCCAGGGACAGAGTACTGTTTGTGACAGAAGAGCCCGTGGCGTTAATAACAGTCTCTGAGGCCCAGTTCAATGTCAGAAAAAAAGGTGAGCATATATATTATAATAAAAATCTAAATTTATCATTGTTAGTCAACAGTCTGGTTTCCATAGTATAAACTTTGTTGGGTTTTGAATCTGCCGTAATTAGCTATCAGGTTTTTTTTAATAATATTACATAGTTAGTGAAATTATCTGCCAAAGAAAAATTTACCTCAAAATAACTATATTTTCTTATGTAATGCAACCAATAGAGGTATAAATTGTCCTTACCAGTCCTTCCTATTAGCTTTACATTGTCCTTTGTATTCCAGCGACAGAGTTCCGGTTGATTCTGGGTCGTACAGGTGGTGAGTCTCCGTTGGTTTCATGTGCACCGCGAACCCCGAAACGGACGAGGTCCTTGGCTTTAAGGGCGCCATCCGTTGACCTTAAAGCTGTATGGCAGAGCTTGCTACAGAGACAGATGTGAGTAATTATTAAAGTGAAATAAGATTTTTCAAGGAAAACGGTGTGATTTATTTGTTTTTTTTTTTTCAATTATAGCTATCGTGCACATACTATGTCCGGGACACCACTTGGTTCACCGCTGGATTCACCAGACCCTCAGCTCACGTTCTCCTTAGCGACACTGGACTCGCAACAACGCCAGGTATCTACGTCAAGCATTCAACGACATTCCAGTCTAGCACTTCTTCCAGCAAGTTCTTATCGCTCACATCTGAACATGCTCGTAGAAGAGCGGCCAGAGAAAGAAGTCAGAGTGAGTTTTGATGTTCGAACAAATTCAGAATCACCCCTCCCTCAACCAGTGAGAGGTCCACTTAGCAGCGTCTGGAGGACAGCCCCCACGCCAGAAACACCATCAGCTAATTTATCCCCAGCTGAATCTCAAACTTTCTCCTCCCATTTTGTTTCATCATCTAGTATTGAAAAAAATTATGAACGTCCTACTTCACCTAGTGCCCTACTTACTCCTGACGGTGGTGAAGATTATTCAGAAAGTTCTCCCTGCAGATGGGAGTCTTTCGAAGCTGATTTAGCTCTAGCAGATTTGGACGTTGACCCCTCGTACAAACATGCTGTGGAGGAACGTATTTTTATGCCTGATGATCCCCTCCTCCCACGTATGGCATTACCAGAACGGCCAACACCGCCGGCTTACTTGGAACTTTGATCCACGGAGTCAGATCCGGAGTTAGCAGAATCCTGTTATCCTCGGACTCGTGGAAGTTGGAGATAAAATCCATTAATGGGGAACCTTATACGGTGTGTTCTAGTAGTCATGTTTAGCTGGTGTTTAGGAGAAATGATGGAACGCTTCCGCCAAGTAGACTGGCGAGAATTTGTTGGATTGTTATAAAATTCGCTTATAGTGGAGATTAAGGTTGTGGTAATAAAATTTTGAGAGACATATTTTCGAACGTTAGCAGTATTAAAAAAATGACAGTATTTTGATTATTAATGGAGAAAAATAACTCATAAGTCTGATACCCACTTATGATACGCTACCGGGTATAAATGAAAATTTACTTGTCACAGAACTGAATCCATGACTGGATATTATACAAACTGCTTTAGTGTAATCAAAAACATGTATGCCAATGTTTACTAAATAGAAAATCAGTGTCAAATGTAACTATAGGGTACCAACAGAAATATTCATGTACAATACAGTAACATTTTTTGACTAACAAATTTTGCTTAAGTCTTCCGTCCTTTTCTAATGAAAATTCAAAAAAACCTCTGTTATTTTTTGGTACTGGTTTAAAAGTCACTTTCTACATTCTGATTCCTTTATCTGTGTAATAAAACAATTTGGTATTACTTAATAATGTTGATGTTGTAAATGTACAGACACTGAGCATTGTAAATCTGTACATAATGTTAATTGTACAGGTCATGTGGATATTTGGCGATCAGCTTCGCGAAATTAATCACGTAGTTGTCATCATTGCACTTTAGAATGTTTTGATTTCAATAATGCTTATTATGTTTGACATGTTCATCGCCATTAGATATAATATTTACAAAGAAAAATGGTAGTCAATGTTAAATGTGTAAATAATTTGTTTAATGCTTTTTTTATTTATTAGTGTAACAACTGAATAGAGTAAATTATTCATGTAACAGCAGATGTCAATTTTAATAAAGATTTAGAAGATCGTATAATTTGTGTCGCTAGCATCGCAAAATGTTCACATAACCTAAACCTTTCCCGGGAAAACTTTGTATGTGTATATTTGTTTTTTTACGAATCTACGTAGTTAGAATCCGGTAATTTTTGATGTCTTTGGCTGTGTCTAAATTTTTAATATAGTCTAATAATAGTAGGAGGAAAAAATTATAATTTTGAGACATCATTTTACTTATAGTTCGAGTTTCTTCGTGACATATTAATGGATTAAAATAATATAAATTTGGATGTTTGTGTTTAGATCGGAGCAGTATATTTCTAATTATCCGTAAATAAAGTGATTTTGTCAATGGCGAAAGATTATTATTTTTATTTGATTACGGTCCAGAATTTTGCGACGCTAACGAAATTTAGATTTAGGTTAAAATGATCTACCATTTTTCTATGTGCTTTGATGATAATAACTTGCATTAGGAGAAACAAAAGCTCTGACAATTACCAAACTAACTTAAAAGTGAAGGCAATAATAAAAAGCAAAAAGCTCTTAATAAATATTAAATGTGTCAGAGAAAGAAAGTAGGAGCTAAAGAATATCAGATTAAGTTAATAAGCGACACATTTTCGAGAAGTTGACATAGTAACTTAAGATACAAGTTTCAAAGACGAAATATAAATTAAATCAGGCATACTAACTGAAAAATTTATCGAACTTGTATAAAATTGATTGCTCTCTACATGGCAACATACAAGCGTCGTAGTTTTTTATTGAAAAGGTAAGTACTGAAATATCGCCAAATATCCATTTCATTACACAGTTAAACACTAATTTCTTTTCATTGTATTTATCCAGTAGCCCAAAACTCCTAACATTAATTTGCAAGTTTTGAAGAAGTAATAATGGTCTTGTTTGGAGTTGGGCTTTATTTTGTTCTTACTTTTCCATTTATTATTCCTTTCAACAGTAAACTTGCCATTAATTTGAATTACCTTACCTTTATCGAATATTTAGACGCGACGCAGTTCAGTGGAAACGCAGACTGGGGCTGGAGGAAGTGCTACTGAAGCTAGAAATACGAGGAGTAGAGGATCAACTCTTCATCTACAGAGATGGATGACGCAATTGCCTGAGGCTGAAGAGATGGATCCCCCAGAACCTGATATGGAGGTAGATCATCCACTGAACACGATTAACTTTACACTTTTTGAAAGATTATTCAACCTCTTAAGAACTATGCTATATAGTTAAAGTTGCATATTCTTTGAATTAATTTGTTTAGATGTGGAGTGTAGAAGAGCTAAGAAAACGGTCCAAAGAATTAAATCTTCTTGAAGTAGCTGACCTTGTTATCAACCATGAAGCCAAAGGTGCCTCTCCGTGTGAGAAAAAAGAAAATGACCGAAGTCCTTCAAAAAGCAGCAATTCAGGCAGTCAGGTTTGTAAAAACCTAGGTGTTGCTAATATTTATGATTCATGGTCATTAACATTGAGTTCCATTACAGATTACGGTAAGAACAAGCCCAGTCGTAGTAGACACGATTCCTGTTTGCAGACAGTGCCATAAAAAATGTTTATCGAAACCAAACAGCCCTTTAGTTTCACAAAAGGAACCGCCGGTGATATCTATCAAACCAAAACCTGAAGCTTCACCCCAAAATTCCAACTCTAACAAAAGTTCTGCTAGTACATGTAGTGCAAATTGTGGTAACCGTAAGCACAAAAACTTTTCACATTTAGAACGTAAAGGTGCTTTCAAGATACGTCCGGAAGATGCCCCTAAAGTTGCCATGAAAGTTATAGATTCAATAGAACAAAGTCAAAGAAAGCTTAAATCCACATCTTACGAACTGAAAACTGATTCACCCGTATTTAATAGAAGCGTCCGTTCGAGTCACACTAAGAGTCAGTTAGAGTTGAGGAAAGACAATTCAGCTATGTCACCAAGTCCGTCATCAAGTAGTCGAAACAGTCCTCTATCTACTAGCCATACAACATGTAGTTCCATGGTATTTAATTCTAGTTCTAATGATTTAAGAATGTCCAATTCAAATATAGCCAATCAGGTCCAATGCGTCATTGCTCAAGAGAAATACTTAAATGAAGTAAAATGTGTTGAAAATATAACTTTAACAAAATCAAAAACAGCCTCCTCTAACTATCCGTCACCAACATCGGCAAGAAAAGAGCAAATTACAAGACAAAAGGCTGAAAATGTTCTGAATAAAGTATTAGGTATAAATATCGTTACAAAGAGGGAGAATGTTGGTACTTGTCTAAAAACATCATCAGTATTTTTAGAAGATGATTCAATTCATGAGGACGACAATGATTTTAAAATAGAAAGAGGACTCAGAAGGTCTCCCAGGATGGGCATTTCAGCTGTGAGTAAAATGAACGGAGACATAAATAAGAAGACTGATGATATAAATGCTAATAGCACGATTGATGGTGGATCTGATGAAGATTTAGAGTTAGGTCCTTTGATGTTAATGGGTTTATCGGCTATCAATCCCGCAGCACATTTGATGCGAGTAGAGCCCTTCAAAAGACCATCAGTGACGAGCTTAAACAATCCTTGTTCAAGACCAGGTAGTCTTGGCTCAATTAAATCAGAATCTCCTGTTCCTAACATAGCTGTTGTACCCCCAACGCCAGACTATAATTCCACTAATAAGACTGTAAGTACATTGCTCAAGTGGTAATTACAGTGTGTATAAGTTTAGATAGATAATATAATTGTCCGTTGCAGGATGACCTTGTAGATGAATCCCCAGAATCTCCCGATGTTCCAGATGACCTACCTTATGTAACTCTTAAAAGGTATGTAAAATCGTATTGTGGGCCCCCATAGATAAGTTAAATCATCAAATCCAAATGCATGTAACCGTTTTATTTTAGATATGGAACAATGTCGAGCCTAGAGAGGCTACCGTCCGATGAGACTGACGATGGGAATGTAAGACTGACAGCACAAGAACCGGAATCAACAAAAGCTTATAATCCAGGTATAAATCCTAATAACCTTATCCTTGACATTAGAACACAGAAGAGTCAATTATTCATCTTCCTGTACAATCAAATGGAAAAGAAACGCACATTACTACCTTCATTGTCCTCCGGCAACGTATCATAATTTTTTTACTTATGGACATTATTTCAGTGAGTGGTGCCGCAGGCGGAATCATGGGTTGGACTGCGAGAGCAGGTTCCTTTGTGGTAGAGAAGATGAATATCTTCAGTTATACAGAGAGTGTCCCGAACACCTCAATTGCACATAAGCAACCTTCATTCTTAGAAAGGTAAGACTATTCTTTCCTATATCAACATTTTTCAAATGTAAATATCAATAAATAAAGAAAGAAAGTGAAGAGTGCAGCGAATTCGTGTTACACAACAAGAAAATAAAAACAATAAAATTATTATTTTCTGTGGTAAATGAATGATAAAACTCGCTACGACCCAATCAAAAAAATATACACACACGGCAAGACGCTTGGCGTTGTCATCGATCGGATCCCAGCATTCTTGAATTATATTAATTTCAATTTCAATTTATTGCATTCCATAATGTACATTCAGGTGGTAGGCTTAAAAGTAGGTAACAATTATGGACCCTGTCGGGCACAGCACTATCAATATATATAATATAAAATTAATAAAAATCACGAAACTTTTTTACTACCGATAACTTATTAAAGTTCACCTCTACCACCAAGATAAAAGGGACAATACAGATAATCTCAGTAAAAATTATACTAAATATTTGTCAAAAATCTTTCGTTTCTGGAGTAGGCTCTATGGAAAGAAGAAGAGAGATTTTCAGTTTTATTTCTAATTTCCTGGTGAGAAGTGTTGTAATAATTATTAATAATAAGATATTATTCTTACCTAATAATATTTTTCCAACGTAGGTGGAATTCAACTCGAAGCAGATAAAAAAGGCAACGATGAGTATAATTATGTGGGTGTAAATAAAGTAGTTTGTTATTTTATATATAACTTATATAACAGTAGGTTGCTCTTAGAGCTATTTCGTAATCGATTTAGTGTCAGATTTTGTGAGTTTCCTATTACTTGTAGAAATTTTAGAAAAATGCTAGAAGATTATTAACAGAAATATGTAGACAAAATATTTTTATATGCTAGTATACTATGTGATAGTTCATTATTATTAACAATTAAAAAATTGGAGCTAATTTAGAAACAGTTATAATTCATTGGTAATACTGTGAACATGATGTAAATAGACATATTTTTTGTATCAATACTTAGATGATTAAATATTTTTAGAATTTTAAACAAATTTTAATTTTAAACAAACTTTAGATTGTGATGATTTCCAAACCTTTTAAACATTTTCTTAATTTTCCATTCTATGAATTCTTAATATGCTTATTGGGTGGAATTTGATTGCTATAAAATTGTATAGATGTCTTGGAGTCAGTGATTGGAAGCCAGCCATTGGTACAGAAGAAGGTACTCCTGAAACAGGAGAAGGAAGTGGGGCTAGTGGGGAAGAAGCATGGGGTACGCCATCTTCTGGTGATCTATCGGATAACCTCCCAGATTCTGAACACGGAACCTTATCGGTAAACGATATTATTTGATAACAGAAAATATACATAATTATATCGGTAAATCTATAAGAAATGCAATGCTTAAAAATACACTAAAATCTTACTTCAAAAGAAACACATTGTAGTAACCTATACTTTTTTATAAATCAACCATTTCTCTTCCAAAAAATACAGTTAATATGTGTCACCGTAGCCATTTATATCATGCATAGAAAAATATATTCTATGAAAAATTATCATTACGCAAAAGGTTTAACTAATTTAAATGTTAAGCACGTTAAACTCTTTGAATGGAAAACCTATCAACATTTCAGTCTCCAACAAAGTCATCATCATCGTATGCGGGTGATGATGATACAGAATTAATGATGGATGAACTTCTTATGGCTCCAACGATAACCGGACCTACTACATTGCGACCTCTACTTCCAAGGTAAAATTGAATGTATTTATATTTTTAATTCAAAATATGTGTGTGTCTGTGTTAGTGTGAACAATAAATATTTTTGAAAAAGCGTAATATTTACATTTGGTCATTAATTTAAACATACAATACATATAATAATAATACCTTTGGGCTAATCACCATCATTATCAACAGCCTTTAATAGTCCACTGCTGGACATAAGAATCTCGATAGAAAGAAGGTTTTGGCCAACTACACCACGCTGGCCAGGCTGTGTAGGCTAATATCCCCAGATGATATTTTATATTACATCATTAATAATATCTATTAACGACACCAAAATATAATCATCATCAACAGCCTTTAACAGTCCACTGCTGGACATAAGCCTCTCCTTAGAAAGGAGGTTTTGGCCTACTATACCACGCAGGCCAGACGGGTTGGTATCGGGTTTGTGTCAAGTTTTCCTTCTCTCTACGGTGCTGTTGTTTTGCGTATTTTTTTCCCTTAGTCGCCTCTTACGACACCCACGGGATGAATAGGGGTGGTGACACTCTGTATTCTTAATCCGTCACCACACGGCAAAATGTAATAAAAACACGATACTAATGATAAATTTGTTCATAGGGATGTTTTCAGAAGAAGACTGGAACCTCTCTTGGAAGAAGAGTGCTCTGACAGTGACAGCGAAGACAACAAAGCGACTCCCACTAACTCAGATGACCAGGTGAATATCCGCCCTGAAGTAAATTAATCATGATTTTGCACCAAAATTCTGTCATCTATCATACAGTGTAGATTAAAAAAATATCTAAGCCCTTTAAATGCACAAGGAAATACTTTCCGTTTTCGACTTTGGAATTTCCTGAAGTTTGGGGCAAAATCCTTAGTAAACGAGTATACTCACCCGTGATTAAATTAAATAACAATGTATTATTAAATACAAATATATTAGAATGAAAAGTACGCAATACTTAGTATATTGCTAATATTATTTGTTTGTGTATAATATTTATTTGTGTTCATTAAATTTAACATACGGATTAACTATTCTACTAATTTTTGTGAGTATTATATGATATTCGTCTGTCAAAATTGATTGCTTGAATGATCGTTTTGCAGTATTAAAGGTTACATCGTAATGAAATAAAACAATTAAGAGTCAAATTTGACAGACCTGAAGTATACGTACATATATATAAGTAAGTATATAAGTATAGTTATGTAGGAAAAGATTTGTTGTAATATCTATAGCATGCCAATAACCGTGAAACAAAGAATGTTATTGGATTTAGCATGCTTGTTGCATGATATAATTTGAATAAAACCTATAATGAACATTTAATATGTTAAATCTTAGATTCACTATGGACCACACCCCTTTTGATAGTAATCCCTATCATTAATTCTTGAAATCACCATCAAAATTCAAAATTTGATTAAAGAATGTAGTTTCGAATCTTGGATCCGGGTCCAGGTTATTGGCAAATTCCAGTAAGGTCCCGTAGCTAGGTTAAATCTCACATTGTGACTGGTCCGCTGGTGCGGCGCTTGGCGCAGGGCAGCGCGCATGGCCTCGATGCTGACGACTGTTGCGACGCGCCGCACCCGCCGCCCTCTGCTTCCGATCAAGGTGAGTTTAAATGGATTACTGTTTTGTCGGCGGTAAGTGCGTTGAATACTTTGATTGAGTGAGAGTCTATATTAAAAAGAATAAACGGTTTAATACAATGCAAAAAAAATATTGAGCTGACAAAATTTAGAGCAAACCAGGTTAATTTAACAGTGCTGTGTCAAAGACGATGAATGCATGAATTTAAAATGATAATATTACAGTAATTTAACATAAATTGAATTTTTGCACACAACACGAAATGTAAGGCACGCATACCATTACTAACAGAAGGAAATACATTTTGACAGAATGGACAGCTTGACATTTGATCTAAGGTGAGAGCGCTACACAAAAACATACGTTGTCATCTCAACTTTTATAAATATTATGTTATATATATTATTTATAATATTTCTAAAAGGGCACGACAATTCAGTAACGATGAAGCACGGTGCATGCTAAATGGCATTTACACACGTATTACCAGAAGTATAAGTAATAATTTTACTTGAAGGCTTACTATTAAATTCTGATAAACATAACAGATATATTTTTTATTTTAGTACCCCAAGCCTAGCACGGTATTATGTAGTTAGTATTCCACTTTACGAGTATCCATTCATATTTAATACATTTTACAAATTTATTTCTTACATATACTACACTTGGCAAGATATACACTAAACTTTTACACGATACAAGGTTCCCTTTTTTTGTTGCAATCTTTAGAGTGCATTTGCATTTGACAGAACCAGAGGGCGGGGGTGCGGGCGCCGCAGCGGATGTTGGAGAGAGACGAGGTGGTGGCGCCAGGTACGAGCTGAGCCCCGACCGGACGCCCACCAACGAGGTGCCTTCGACGCTCTTACTATCTGGTAAGGAAAACATATCTTACCCCTATTATACTATTATTTAATATCCGACATTTCAACATCGTGCCCTCTGTTACCCCTATAACAGTCTCCAGACTAAGATATGTATTACATTAAACCTGTCTCTTATCAATTGTATAACACCTACTGTCTATGAAAGAAGAAGAGGAACGACAGTGCAAACCTTTAATTTAGCTTTCCGTGTTGTCGGTTCTCCGTTTCTAGTTTCAAAAGAGTTTGCGGAGGTACGTGCCGCTGTTGCAGCTGGTCATCGGGACTCAGCCAGCTCGGACAGCACGCCCTCCACACTCGAACGCACCACTATACACAATCCTACGAATACGACCGCCGTGCAGCACCAACACTCACCTGGTATGAAATTTGCACCAGTAATGTCGACTTCAACGGAAAATCTTATTATATGTTATTTAGAAGAAAAAAATGTTACTTACTTATCAAAAGTTACTATATAAAAAAACAATTCATAAGATTAAAAAGCAGCTGTTCTGGTCCGTCTCTGTATATTTATAGAAACCGAATGTTCTTCAGATTGTCGCAATCTAAGCAAGTTTAAGTAATCTTTATTTTTCATTTTAAGAGTACACTCAGCTAGTTCTGATAATTTTTTCCTAGGGTACGAATATACCCTTGAAAACTTAACTTAATGAAATCTCACTGATTATCAAAAACTAAATAACATATTGGTATTAAGTGCATTTGAATACAAAAATATTATAATTAACAGTCTTGGAGCAAGCACCAGTACAGGAGGCTATCTTACAACCGGAGGAACCGAGACCACTGACGCCGGAGCGACTCAGTCCTCGAGCGGAGATGAGACTGGCACTGGACCAGGGGACAGATATGCTAGCAGATCAAGAGACGCCCTGGGTACGTCAGGTATGTTGTTACTGATTGTGAAACCAATTAAGAATAGTCAAGCATTACAATTTACTAAAATATAAATATAACATCATCATCATCATGTAGGGAAACAGTATGGTACAACAGAAGCCAATGATTTTCTGACATGCTGACAGATGGCTTTAATATTATTTCTGTCGCATTCCTCTTGTCATTTATTATTGGAGTTTCTAATACAGAATAATAATCATAATCTCTGCGATCTAGATTTCAATCCAAAAATATTCTAGTGCTTCCTTGCTTCAAAGTCCTTAATATACTTCTAACTCTTAACAGGGTGGCGGGTCCGACCCCTGGTCGTTTCGCGTGGCGTGCCAGCGCTCTCTCCTCCGTCGTGTAGCGAGCGCAGACGCAGTGACGCTGTGCCGCGCGCACCCGCGCCGCACCGTCCCGCATACTACTTCGCGCAATTCTGTATATGCCTGGAAGGGTAAGTTTATCTTTATTAGTTATCACTTTAAAAAAAGTAAAGTAAAGTATCTTATTTTTGTTCTGTATCTGTATTATTTCTGCCAAAAATATAAATAGTCCACGTAATAACTATAGATGACATCTGAAAATTTCATCACACACATCACATCAACAGCCTTTACTAGTCCACTGCTGAACATAGGCCTCTCCTTAGAAAGGAGGTTTTGGCCTACTATACCACGCTGGCCAGACGGGTTGGTATAGGGTTTATTTCAAGTTTTCCTTCTCTCTGCAGTGCTGTTGTCCTACGTAGTTTGCTTCCTTAGTCGCCTCTTACGACACCCACAGGATGAATAGGGGCGGTGACACTCTGTATACTTAATCCGTCACCCCACGGACAAATCCGAAAATTTTGTAAGTTGCAAATTATGATAAGAAGGCAAACTAAGTATAAAAACAACATAAACATTGTGAAACATTGCCTTGGCTGAAATGAACTAAGTCAGTCTTAACAAAGTTAACCCTAGTGATGTGACAACATAGAGCATATAAATGTTGTTTAATCAATTCTTTATGTTAAATCAGAAAATAAATTTGAACGTTAAGTGTAAACACTTATGGAACCTTATCGGTCCAGTTCCAGAAAACGAGAAACCTATGGAGATGGAGCAACTGGCACAAGCGGAAGCTCGGACGATGCGTTCGCGGACGCGCTCTCTATGCCAGAACGGGAAGATGTGAGTACCGTTTACTATTTTACAGGGCAATGCTACGAGTATTCCTTCCTTAGTAAATCACTTCATTAAGTTCCTGCAGTTATATGCACCGCACGAAACAAGAATTGTACTGGGCTCTGAATGACTCCTTTGTATTCCGTCAACATTTGTTTCTTGACTGCACGGATGGCGTAGTGATTTAAGCGGTTGCCATGCCGCTTAATACTACGCTGAGTGTTGTGGGTCCGATCTAGACATGGGACGACACTTTGTCTGATCCACAAATTGTTGTCCTGAGTCTGGGTGTTCTTTGTATCCGTTACATGTATGTTTGTAAAGTCGACACAGGATATATTCTTTTTGTAGTTGTCTTTTTTAAAAGAAGGAAAAGAAAGAAATGTTTTTTTTCGTTTTCAGAATGGGTTTCCTCCGTCGCCGCGCATCGTCCGATAGCCCACGCCGCGAGCCGTTCCTAGTAACGGCAGCCCGCCCATTTTCCCCCCGGCGCACGACCGTGAGCAACAACGGCTATTACAAGATATGCTTTGTCAATGGCTATGTGTGAGCACCGCACCGCCAGCTTATCTGTGCCAACCAGCTGGATTTAAACATTTGTGGGAAGTTTTTTCATCAATGTCTTCAGTTATTGCTTCTCTGTTACTATCTCTATCTACTAAAATCATCATCATTCATCTTCAGGATGATAATTGAAGTATGTGCGAAGATAGGTGATTGTATATCCGAGACCGATAATTTATTACACAAAATTAAATAACAGTATACAAATAGCGTGTTCAATAAATAAGTAATTATAAATAGTAGTGAAGAAACTTCCTAAATAATATTTGAAAATAAGTGAAAGTGTGAAAATTAAAAATATTCGAAGCGATAGTTCTAAAGTCTGCCTTGAATTTAGTCTCTAAAGGTCGATTTAACTTTTATTATAATAAAATGTACTCTTAACGAAAATGAGTGGATAATAAAACTGCTCAAAAGCGCTATAATTTAATTATTAAAATTAATTATCTCATAATTTTTTAAGAACGTTATCGGAAGTAATGAAAAATCTAGTAAATGTACTAAAATAGGGCTTATGATATTCCGTCAATTTCTTTCTCAAAATTGGCCAATGTAATTGCCTTTCTGTAAACGTATAAAATTTTAAACAATATTGTTAAATTAGTAAAACTTAAAACATTTTTTTAGGAAAATATTAATGTCTTTGGCTATGTCATGAAATTATTAATATCGGGTATATTGTTATATTGTAATTGTCTTTGCGCTAAGCTCATGTCAATTTGTTCTTTGCTTAACACTTAGTATTAAAGTTTAAATCCAGCTTCAGATATGCTAAATTTGATTTTATTATCTGTTGAACTGATCTGTCCATTTTGATTGGAACAAGTGTTCTTGGAAATATATTTTTATTAAAATACCATGCGCTTTTCATTCTTCATCCTGCTGCTTGGCTCTTACCCTTCCTTAATATCAACCACTCCTTCATTTTGTTCAATGCTTACTGATCCGTCCATTTCCAATTCAATTTTTATTGCTATACTTGTTTCTTTAATAAGCTTGTCTTTAATTTAGTATTAACAGAAATGGTTAAAGTTCAGTTATTATATGTTATGATATTTTACGTTACTTGATTCCCCAACACTACCCGTCGTAGTAAGCTGGAATATAAGGTATAGGGTTATTTAATTTTAATTAAATCTACTAAACAAAATATCAAATATTTGCACTTTAAAGAAATAACCCTGTATTTTACCTGTGTGCAATAAAACAATTAACGTTATAGCAAATTTCCACAAACAATATGCTTTTCTTACAGGAAAAGCAGTTCGAGAAAAGATTCTGGAAACAAGTGACTAGAAGACGTCAGTCTCTTGGGTCTATCAGTCAGATATAGACACCAGGTAAACGTTAAAAGTGTTCATGTGTACTCCACACCGTAGATGTAGATGATTCAAATAAAACTGTTAACCTAGTTGGTGAAAATGTGGAACGAGACATTATTTTGATAGTCCACGGAGTGATCTGAAGTGTTAAACTTAGGAATATGGATAATGAAGTTAATCGAATGCCAAAATATGCCAGATTTATGCCAAAATACTGACAACTGGGACCTGTCAATACTTCATATCTTAGAATCGTTGTGTTTTATAGTAGGTACACTGATATAGGCCTAATTGTTGACTGTAAATAAAGAGCTATCTATTCCCCAATATAGCTGTACAAACTCATAGATTTATTTGTAACTGAGCTTTATGGAAAGTGTAAAATATGTGATAGGATAGTAACTGTTTTAATAGTCATGTAAATTGTTAAATTTTAAATGAAATGTAAATTTGTTTTTAAAACTATTGTATGATATTTTTTCTCTACTTGTACGTAAAATATATACCGCTTTAGTTTGTGTTGCACAATTTTTAATGAACTATCTAAGCGTTGTGCACACTGAGCAGCAGTAATTATTAGTTCCTATAACCCTACCAATACATATTGCTTTTCACTTTCAATAAATGATCGCTACGAAAACCATTTTGTGTTTAGAAAATTGTCAATTTCACTGTCTAATTTTATGTTAGCCTTTTTGACTGGTTATAACATTTTTATTGAATTTCACACTTAAATAAAAACATTAGTCTGAGAATATAATTTGCATTTTTGACCTTTGATTAATATGTACTTATTTGATGTTAAGTCAAAAATGTCATATATCGTTTCCTTTTTGAGCTGTCATATTTATTTACGTCTTTTTTTTAAATTAATAATTCTTATGTTGAAATCATGAATGAAATTCATACAAAATTTAAAATTAATGTCATGTTAAAATTTTATGGTAAAGGCTGGGTTTGACAGGTGGTGGGGTGGCGACAGAGTGCGAGCAGGTGAAATGTTCTACCACCGAGTCGTGCACGGTGTCGTGTCGCGTACGTCTCTGACGTATTATATAATATTAAGAACAGTACAAACCTACTCACTTAACGTCATCGTCCCTCCCCGCCTGCTGTCTGTCCCATCATTGTTAACAATATAGGCCAAAGGACATTTCTATTATTGAAATTTAAAATTAATAAATTTTGAGTCAAATTAAAAAAATCCTTATTGACGATATAAAAGTTATGTGTGTTATGACATCACGCACGAATCGCGCCTGATATAGTTGAAAAACCATGATTAGATGGACATTTACAATAATTTTATTATTAATCATAAGTAACATGTGGAGAGTCTAAGAAGTTCATCGATGCCAACATTTAAGCTTTCTATCTATGAAGTCGTACACTAAAAATTGACAGTCTTACAAATGTCAAAATAGTAGGTATGTTCATAAATTAATATTTTTGACTACTATTTTTTTTTTTAAACCTCCTTTCTAAGGAGAGGCCTATGTCTAGCAGTGGACTATTAAAGTTGATGTTGATTTATTTGTGGTAAATTTTAGCGTTTCATGTAAAGTGTAAGTAATTCTCAAATCAATGCTAAATTATCATCTACTAACTGTAAAATAATATGCCAGAGTGTACAATAAATAAAATTAATGTAAAATATATATATATATACTTGCATAAACATATTTGTATTTTAGTGAAAATGCTTTACATTTTTTAATTTAATTTTATAATTAAAATGTAGTAGTATGAATATTTTCTTGTAGTTAACCTGAAAGGATTGTCGAATTTATTAATTTTAAATTTATTGTAATGGTTAGAATCTCAAAGTTCTTTTTAAATCCATTGGTTTGTTTAAGAAATTTCAAAATAAATATGAGATAGAAGTTTTATAAAGTTTTTTTTTAAAGAATGATTCCGCGCGTCATAACAGCTGAACATGAACACGAACCTACCATGATCACTAGACTTGGTTGACTTTTTTTTATGAAACTACATTTCAATTTCAGACATGTGTGATAAAACTATGAGCTGGAGCTTGCCGCTAAAGGTCCCAGGCTAATCGAATAAAACATATATTTTGATTTAAGATAATCTTCCATCCTAAAAATAATGAGACTGAATACTGATACTGTCTCCCAAACTAAGCGAATGCTTGTATTTTGGGTGGCAGTTCTCAGCTGTGTATGACTCTACATAAATGATATTACATAGGTGGACCATATGTTATTGAGCGGGTATGTGTATTGGTGAGTATGTGTATTAATGGGTGTTTGTATAAAAGTATGTGTGTGATTTTGTGTTTCGTATTTGTGTTATGTGCTTGTACATGGTGATGTTTGCGTGTGTAGGTTACGCAATGAATGTCAGCAGTTCTTCAGTTCACATTAAAAAGCCAGTCTGTAAGAATGGTTTGAAGTTTGTGGTTATTTAGTCCTGCGATGTTGAGTTTCTTGTGTATTGCCGGTCATATAACCACTATCGCAGTGCTCGGTGTGAGATTTTGAGGGGAGGCTTACACAACAGTGGTGGATTCACAAATGAATACCTCGTCAATTAATGAATGCTCACTTTCAACATGCCAACCTTACTACTAAGGCTTCTGAGTTACCTTCTAATCATTTCGGGTTCGAGCTCAACACAATACACCCAAAATACTGGTAACATCTGACCCACTGCACTATGTTCTTAAAAATTATAAAAATAAAGGGTAATTAAAAAAAAACAGATTTTAAAATGTTAAGGTCCGTATATTTATTGTCAAAATACAATCAATTCACACTGTAAATACAAATCTACATGTAAATGACAACTTTAATTGATACAAAAAAATATTAGATATTTTTTTTAACTTAGCACCACGGTTAATTATTTTCATTATACTGGAGATAAAGAGTTTAAAATGAATCTAAACACATTTTATATTGAATAAATTTATACATCGTTTATAGTTTTTTAATAAAAAAAAGAATTCCATTCTTTCCTTACATTAAAACCTTGCAATTATATTTTAAATTATCATATTTTCGAGTAAAAGTTAAGTGATCTCCAGTTATACATATTATTACAACCCCTAATTGAGCACAATTTGCACCGTCCCATTGCCCTTTATATCCCAAACTCACATAGCAATCACGGCAAGAATACATTGTTGTTTAAAACGGTAGTGATCTGAAGGATATATATATCCCACCTTGCACTAATTAATGATATATATCCCGACTTGCACCACAGGACATATATCCCGTCTTGCCCCAACTGCTAGGTTATAAACACGTTCTTCAACTTAAAATTATCTATGTACACCTAATATTAGTATTGGCAGGAAAAAAGAAAAAGCGATAAGTATTATAAACTTTGCTCCAAAATGCTAATATTTATAATAAAAAATATCGTTCAAGATAGATGTCTACAACATATTCTATCAATATGAATAAAACCAGATTGTCAAAGGCATTAACTTTCATTTTGGCACAATGTTAGTTTATTATAAACTGAATTTTATATAAAATCTTAATTACACCTAACCTGACACTTTTAAAAATATATACTTATTATTTTAAGATACTGGTATATTATTAAACTTATATGATAAACTTCAAACATTTTTAATGTTGGTAATATTTCATTGTCACTCCGATCGTCAATGTTTTTTGACGTTTGAACTTATTTAAAAAAAAAAGTTTTTTTTTAAATTGGTTATTAGGCAACCGTCTTTGTCACCCGTCAGTATTATACACCGATAATATTATTAATAAATGACACTACACTTAACCATATTAAAAATATGTCACATAAAAAAGGTATTAGTTACAAATTAACGGAATCAAAATTAAACACAATCCAGTAATGCAATGTAGCAAATACGCAATATAGGCAGTGAAAATTGAATTTGAGCATTATGAAAACTTACACAAGATAATTATTTATTGCATTCATTTACTTTGAGTACAACGCCATCTGTTATCTGTTCCGTGATTCACGTAGTTCTGTCTATCGCTACCAATGTATTACTCTCGCCATTCCCTGGAAGATGCTTGGAAGGTTCGTACTTCTGATGATGTGAAAGTCGTCAAGCCTTGGGGACCTGGAAAAAATACCGATTACATTAATTAAATTACATACAAAAGTTCACAAGGAATCAAGACTTATTGTACATCGTTAAATTACCTCTAATTCTACGACCAGGTGTAGGTGTGACATCACCTTCGGGAACTGTCCACTGTTCTACTACTTCTGAGGCCGAACGCGCTAGGGATGGCTGGCTCACGGAGCGATGAAGAGAATTTTGAACCCATGATCTGAAAGATATTTTATGATAAATATACTTCATACTATGTATTACGCCCTACCTTAACCGTAGTGAAGGTAGAAGTCATTTCATTACAAATTTACGAAATAGATGGCGCTGAAAACAAATAAAATTGAAAAAAAAAAACCTCCTGTCTTTAGTATTTGAATCAGTATGGACATGTATCAATACTTACTGGCTCTGATGGAATGGGTGTTCCGAATCACTGTCATCATCATAGTATCTTCCTAGCTGCGTGCCTGCTGACACTTCAGACTGTGTGTCCGCTTGCTCACGGGCGTAGTCCACCATCATCTCCGACATCGACCTGAGGAAAAGAAAAAATTGCTTTAAGACACCAGAGAAAATCCAATATACACCAATATTATAAAGAGGTAAAATAGTTTGTTTGTAGGAGGTAATCTTTGGAACCACAGATCCGATTTTAAAAATACTTTCACTGATAGGAAGTTAGACTGTTTCTGAGTGCCATAGGCAAAAAAAGTTTAAAGTAACATTACAGCATTTGTGAACTAAGTCGAAGAAAAATTTACTGATTGTATTGTGGTTTATTATATACGGTTCGAAATAAAGGAATGCAAGAAATAAGAAAAATATTAGTCTTTGGTAGATCTACAATAAAGTCCGGTACATCATAATTATGTCTAACTTATTTATTTAACACAGAGTAATGGTTTTCTGTTAAAAGAAAAACAAAAATGTCTAAAGATATTTAGGTTAATTTATAATATACATTATATACATTTTATGATATATTTATATATTGATATATTTATGATATGCAACATACTTTATATATTATATTTAAAAGAAAAAATAATTAAAAACGAATTACCTCTTTAGATACTGCATTTTATTTCGTCGGATAGTTGAGAACTAACAAGACAAATCCTTTGTAAAAAGAAGTTGAACCGACTTCAAACAATACTAATAAAGAGCAATAAAAAACCTAGCAGCAATCGTGGTTGATTTGCTGTCATTTTTTGCAGAGTTCCGTTGTCTATCTCCGAAACTCATCACCAGATCTATATAAAATTTAAATGGGACCATTTCGGAATAAACTCCTTCCGAACAAAAAATTTGATAATCCGTCTATATATGACAGAGTTATGCCCGAACATAAAAAAATATAAACATCCGAATTGATAAACTCCTACTTTTGAAGTCGGTTATAAACGCAAGACGTAGACGGACTTTTATATACAAATTATTACATTATGTTCGTGTGTGTATATACCCAGCGGACACATTTATATTGTATGTAATGATATCCTGTAGTATAGTCTAATCACTGTACCCGTGCGCAGCCGGGGGGGGGGGGGGGCCGCTAGTTCCTATTTTAAAAATTCGTAGTAGATCTTTGACCATCTCGGACGACGAAAATAGACCTCATATATACTCCTATTATCTCACTGTACTGGTATTGTTATGAATGTTTGTGGTATTGTCACCGTGATTGTCGTATATATCAGAATAATTACCAACAACTGGATGTAACGTGAATTGTGTAATATATACAAAGTGGTTGTACCTACTTATTATCATAAATAAATAAATACCTACTAAGTAACTAAAGAAAACTTAAGAAAAAAATCTGAAAGGAATGGAGGAAGGAAGAATTCAGGAAGGAAAACGCGTTTAATGATCAGCAGTCACTAGTTCCATGAATCTATGATACGGATTTTGGTCTACACATCCATTTCAGGACTTTTTGAATCAATCAATTGAAGACCACAATTGATTGATATATATATAAAAGTTCCTGGAACATCGTCGTGAAAAGTCTGGTAAGAGAATGTCTGAGATTAATTAACATAGAAGCTGTACCTCATATCGACATGGTCGCTGCGGTAGGAGGACCGGCGAGAGCGCTGAGGGTCCCTCAGGGACGTGGCGTCGCTGTCATATTCGTAAAGGGTGGGCAACGAACTACGTCTGGAGCGGGAATCCCATTCTGTCTTCTTGCGGTAACGGTTCTGCGAAATATAAAATAGACAAGCTCAACGAAAATAGAAAATATAAAACACTCATTAAAAATTTTTACTTATTACGTATGAGTTTTTTTTAAATAATAACAGAAGAGGCACGATTTGATGTGAAAACAGGCCAAAACTCAAAGAACATTTGTTTGGATACACATATACCTACTTTATAAAAATATTCTTTAAAGACCTAATCCGTGTAGTGACGGATTAAGAATATGGACTATTCATCTCGTGGGTGTCGTAAGAGTCGACTAAGGGAGCAAACTACGCAGGACAACAGCACTGCAAAGAGCAGGAAACCCTTGACACAAACCCTATAACAACCCGTCTGGCCAGCCTGGTATAGTAAGCCAAAACCTCCTTTCTAAGGAGAGGCCTATGTCTAGCAGTGGACTATTAATGGCTGTTGATGATGATGATGATGATGAAAGACCAAAAAAGAAACAAAGACCATCCTGCTTTCTCTACTCGCCGTTGTTCGAAAAATCATTTCTTATTTGTTTAGACGGCCAATGTCCGTCGTGCGTAGTTATATTGTAGGCTTAATGAATAAGAAAAACAAAAAATGGAGATATAAACTAGGAAGATTAAAAAAAACCTTTGAATTAAACCGTCTTTAGACACTTTGTTTGACATTTTTAGTGCATGCTAGTTTACATGGAACTTTAATTAAATTAAAACTAACAGAATATTTAGTAAATAACTTCTAACTCACTGGTCTAAAAACGCATATCCATACCTTAGGTTTATCGACAGGTGGTGCCAAAATACGTATAATCACTTCCCACTTATGGGGCGCATAGAGGGGTGCGAAGCGGTGATCGTGGGCTACTCTAGTGAACTCGTCTCTGGTGGAAGCTCGAGCCAGTTCCCTACGGAGGGTACTCTCGTGGGTGATGAGTTCGCGCCAACGAAGTCGTTCCTCACGAGTTAGGCGGTATGAGCGCTCGGTTTCCAAAAGGACCTGGAAAAATTAGGTGAGTTCATATTTTTCAAGCAGATCAAATTTAGTAGTATTACGTTTCGTACAATTAGCCGTGCAAATTTTACTTGCGTGATTTAGAAACAAGTTACTATTACCAACAAGTTTTCGTTAAGTTCCATTTTAGCTATTGGGTGCTGTTTTCTTTACTTTTATATCTCATTCGAACAACTGATGCTAATTTAAATGACTTTAAAAGAGATCTACCTCATCTTGCGCTTCGGTCTTCAAAACTCTTGTTAGCACGTTCCAGTTTACAGGAACCGGTGGTATCGGCATCGGCTCCGGTATATCTTCATCGTCATCGTCACGGAAAAGTGGGTTGCGTGCAGGAGGCAGCTCCGGTAAGAGAGGGAGGTCGGAGGTTGTCTGGTATGACTGGCCCGTCTGCTTGATCAGCTCAGGAGAGAATAGATCGGGACCGCCCTTTCCTAAGGTTGTAAATAAAATCGCTTTTTGTAGTACTATTGTCTTTGTTGACATTATTATTTTAGAAATAGATTCTTTCATTAATATTTTTTAACTTTGTTAATACGAATATTATAATTCATATTGTAGCGACTTCCACATATAAGAAAACGAAGAAACATACTACAGCGCTATCTATTGAAGACACATCGCAGTACGGAGTAACTGCTAATCCTACATCGCGATATGAAAAATCTCTCTTGGGTAATCCATATGGTATTCTCCATATCTCTGATACTCACCAATAAACTTCTGCGGCGGTAGTGATAATGGCACCCTTTCCATCTTCGGTGTCAACGTCATTCCTGATGCGCTGCTGATGTCGGAGAAGTTCTCCCATTGAGCTTCTGGCACGGTATGGTTCCTGATTGTCACGTCGAATTGTGGCGGCGGAGGTGGCACCTGTTCGTTGGGAAACATAAGTCAATGTTACATAGAGTACACTGTTTGGTACTTGGACACCTCGGTTAATGTGCAATGAATGCTATCAATTTAGTAACAACAGTTCCTCTTAGTTGAGTACTAGTTAACATTATTAAAAATAAAATGGAGTACACAATTCTTTTATTTTCATCAAACAATTGAGAGTTGTCCAATTTTAAATAAATTCTTGATGTATATCTATTAATAGTTTATCTATTGTTAATAATGCTGCCTTAGATCATTCAACATGCAATGCGAGAGATATAATAGTTTCCATAATAGTTACCTCATATGTAAGTAGGATTGCCACATTACTTTAGTTTTTAAACGAAATCATCTAACAGAGCACTTGATCATAAAATTAGTTTGAAAGTTGTATTATGATCTTAAGCAATAATTCCATTATTATTATTTTTCATTACTTATCTTAAACGCATTTTATAACTACTATTATGGAGTTTTTCCCCGATTTTCTCTTTAATTCATACTTGGCAATCCTAAATGTAACCGTGTAGGTACTTATTGAGTATATTACCTGTTTGTACTCCGTGACGAGTCGTTTATGACGCTCGATATCTTCTATCGTCTTCTTCTCCGTGATGGTGCGGAGGAATACGTCATCTACCACGTGAGATGTTATTTCAGGTTTTCTGCAAGTAGAAGTCGTTATATTAACCAATCCATATTTCATAAGAAAAATTTGTGTAGAGCTATCATTAAAGTGAAATATCGTGGTAATTTACGATAGTCATATTATATACATACAAAGATTACCTACTTTCTAATGAGAGGCATATGTCTAGCAAAAGATGATACAAATATAACATTTTTTTTCCTTATTCTTAGGTTATAGATATGGTATAAGGTATGGTGCAGGCATTTCTCTAATAGGACAGAATCTACACAGAATGATTTTATTAAATTTCCTTATATAACATTAAGTAGTACATACCTAGCAGGCATAATAGGTGTCTCAGGTATTGGCTCGAGACTCTCCATTAACATCTCATGTTCTTCCGTTTGTAGACGCTCACGCATCACAGGAGGTGGCGGAGGTGCTCTCTGCAGAACATTCAATTTAATCATTATGATCAATAATTATATTTTTTGGTCTTACTTGATATTTGAGCAGCTAATAATATAATAGCTAAGTAATATACTTCTAGTTATGATTCTTCACCTGTAATATTTTATAGTTAAAAATATTACTAAAAGGTCATAACAGACTTCTGCTTCGATTGAAGTCTCTTGCCTTACCAATAATACCTGCGTACTATGGAATCTCAGTCAGACTGAGGGTCACTGGGAACATGCAAGTGAAAAGGTACTACCTGCAAATGAGTGTCCAGTTTATTCTATTAATTAAAATAATACAGGTAAATATTTTCGGTGAAAACCTCCGTCCTTTCGGTGAAACCCGTTAAACGTCACCTGATTAGAAAACTTTATAACAGGTCGTGAAAATTTCATATCAAATTTCGTACTCATTAGACTCGTACCTTGATATGGAACATCCTGGCATGTGAACTGTCAGTAACTTCGGTGACAGAGTGGGTGTCAGTCATCTCAGTGTTCAGCGAGACGATGGACCGCGGACGTCTCGACCACTCCTGGTTAGTCACACAATGGTAGTGAAGGGTGAACTTATAATGAACATTATTTGAATTATGTGGTGTTATTCAATTCAGTGCAGAAAGAAGTGCTTTGTTGTAAAAGTGTTTGGATGTTTGGAAATATGATTGGATGAATTCTCTTTTACCTAAATTTCTAATGTCTTTAAAGATTACAATTTTACATGAAGATTCGTGTTTACAAAAATTCTTTACTTATTTATCAAAAGTGGAGAGGATTTTTAACACAATTACTGAATGCATTCTGATATTTGGTCAGAAAAGAGTTATTATAAATATAAAATTCACATCTAAAGGAGGAATAATTCTGTGATAAACCACGAATAGTCGATTGGACAGTTAGTTTGGTGGCATAAAGATTCCCCAAAATTACTTTTCATGTTTTCTACTTCAAATAAAGAATAGAAATCTAAAAGAAAATTAATTTTATTTGTATTTTTTTAACTACAGAAAAGACCTTGGGCTTTATACATATGACAGACTAAAAGAACACTACTATTACGAAAAAAACAACGTATAGTAATTACCATTTTTTTTTTTTTTTTTTTTAATGTTGTTGTTGTTGTTTTAATGTTTATATAATGAAAGTGAGTTTTAATATACCCCGATGATTTCGATGTTTGTTTTTTTGATTTATTATTTGTGCATATTCTCTCATACGTGTGAGGTATTTTACGTGAAATTATTTTTTTAAACTTTCTTCATTAATTATGCATGCAGTTATAAATTACGGTGCTTTTACTTTTGAATAATTCAGGTTTCAGCTCTAAAGACATGTCATCAGACCTATTCAGATGGCCATTTAATTGTCAAATTACATATTTACGAACATGATTTACAAAAAAAAAGAACAATTTATTTTTTTACTCAGTTGCCAGTAGAAGAAGTCTTATTTATTTACAAAATAGCAAAAAGAACTTAACGCTCACTTCGTGTATGTTATTATTAACAAATCCAAGTTAATAAGTATTTATTAGTACATTCACAAATAGAAATGTTTCCATAACAGTTTAGAACTGATCTCGTAAGTGTTCAAATAAAACCTTAAACCGTTTAAATGATCCTCTTTAATTACGTACCTGTTTCTCCCGTTGCACTTGCGAGTACACCGCGGGAGGCCTGGGAGGCCTTTCAGGCGGTGGCAGTTTGGAGGCGCGAGCGGGCAATGGGAGTGCCACAGGGGACACTGTTCGGACCGACTCCTGTCGTTCATGCTCTTCCGACATCAGGGTTTGCCTTGCAGATAGAGATTAAATATTATTTTCAGGTTTTTATAATATTTTACTCTGTAAATTATTTCAGTAAATGTTATAGATACGATAATGTACTGTTTTATTATAATATATGTACCTATTATTGACCACGTATTGCGAAAAAATTAACAAAGTTGGATATATTAAACGGCATATTTGACCGGTTTCTTCCTTTTTTTACTTATTTTCAAATAAGTTAAAAAAGCATGATATCAACTTACCGCATGCTACCGCCATCAACTTCAGTGGCAGTAATGGTGGAAGGTGGTGAAGGTGGCATTGGTGGGCGCTGGACGCGTACGCGCACGTCGAAGGCTGGCGCCGCGCCTGAGACAAGTCGCGCGTTAGTCGCGAGCGTCTCGCGGGTCTCTCCGTATCCTGTAAGTGACGTTATTGTGTTTAGTCGGTCAGTTTTAAGGAAGTGGTGGCTTAAAAATTAACTAAGTTTTACTTAATATGAATATGAACTGGATTATTATTTGGAATTGAGTCAATTTCGTAGCTGAAATACCAATTTTATAGATTAGCAGTAAATAAGAGCGAAGAGACTCATAGTACAAAATAGCAGAAATATGTAGCAATATCCAGTAGATTATTATGTAACAAACCTAGGAAAACAATACTTATATAATATGTTGTGATATTCACGACCAAAATATTCATCATCAGCCTATCGCAGTCCACTGCTGGACATAGGTCTCTCCCATTGCACGCCACTTAGATCGATTTTGGGCTTCTCGCACCCAGCTCCTGCCAGCCATCTTGCGCAAATCGTCACTCCACCTAGCCTGTGGGCGTCCTACACTACGTTTGCCAAGACGCGGTCTCCACTCAAGAACTCGTTTTCCCCAACGGTTATCGGTTCTGCGGCTAATATGGCTAGCCCACTGCCACTTCAGCTTGCTGATCCGGTACGCTATGTCGGTGACCTGACACCGGTTAACCGGACAACCGATTAACTGACAATTCTCCAGTAGTGTGGGTAAGTAAAAGTGTAGTTGAAATTATAACAGCCACTGACAGATGTCAGATTATGCATAGGTATATGACGTAATGATATTACTCGCATCTGCAGACATGATAATAGTTACAACTTTTTCAGTAAATTTTAATAAAACTACTCACGCCGGCATAATTAGCGGAACACAAAAAAGGGGAATAAAAAATTGATAATTTTATTTTAAAACAAATAATAATTAAACATAAAATAACAATTAAATTAACATGTTTTGAAATTAATTAGCAACACCATATTTAAACTTGAATGAAAAAAAAACTAAAGTAAATAAAATGCATTTTTCTTAGATTTTGTAATGAGTAATGACAGAGAAACAGTTAAAAATTTAAGAATATTCGCCATTTTTAAAGGGGCAAATTAAATTTGAAAATGAACACATAAAAGTATATTCGTTTTACATTCGTATGAAAGAGAGCTGACATTAATGGAACTACGGGTATTTAACACCAAAAATGTTATAATTTATGTAAATTGTGAAAGGTTTTCTGAAAAATTATTCAAACTTTCCTTGAAAATTGTTAATATTAAGTAAGTAAGTACATTTACTCCAGGAATAGCTTTTTAAAGAAAAAAATGGTTTTCAAAATCATTTTTTTTTTAAATAATATAACAATTCACCTGCATGTAACGGTTCTAAAATTTTCCCAACAACTTTCTGTATATCCCTGTATATACTCTCTATGTCTTACCTTCGCTATGATAAGATTCATCCATCATGAAGGCCTGGTTGGTGTGCGTCGCTTCAGCTTCGCTGGGCGTCTCGGACGGGTAGTCGGATGGTATGGTGTCAGAAGCTACGCTTGCCACTTCTGCGGCTACAGGGTACACCGGGTGAGCTCGAGGTATTTTCACTTCTGTATTAAAATTAAAGAGAATTTATAATATGGACAAATGCAACTCAGAGAAAAAATGTGTGGCCAGCCTTTGAGGCCATAAGCTCAATAGTGGTAATGTCCGTACCAAAACTTCTATATTGAATTTTATATATAATGTATCTTAATTACAGTATTTTAAAAACAAATGCAATATCGTATACAAACCAAATACGAAATTTTATTCGACATTAGTTCTGCATGCGATTCGGTTCGAGAAGTCAAGTTTTTAAGTAATTTTGAATTACTAATTAGTTTCAGAAGTAAAAGTAAAATTAAAATTTATTTATTACCTTGTATGCTTTCCCTGCTCACAATAGAAGCTGAGGAATCGTCGATAAACCTCCTCGGCGCTGGTAGGGCTCTCCTCTTGAGGCAGAGGTACGACACTCCGAGACCCAGGAGTAGTAGCGTGAGGAATAGGATTGCGCAGATGACCATTAGAATGTGAGTACCAGCGAGAGGAGCTTTAGCCGGAAGAGGAGCAAGTTCGGGGCTGTAATTGAGATACATTTCTAAAGTTTCTCTAAAAACAAAACTACTTATATTTAGAGGTATTTATATTTACTCCATTCTTTGTAGACTTGTGATTCAGTTGCACTAGCAAAACTGTATTTATGATGAACCATAATATACTTCAAAAGAATCCTGGAAGAGGGATTCAGATTGCCGGGTTTTTTTTTTAAAGGTATATTTTAAAGGTAAGGAAAAATATCATCAGTGTAAAAAGAGCTCTAGCGATAAACTATTCCTTAAATTAAACCTCTCTTCTCCTTCAGCAAAGATCAAACCCGTAACACAACAAGCAGTGGCTGCTGGAAAAAGAGAAGACTTACGACTCTTCGCCATCAGTACAGGTGTACAGCAACTGATAGCGAGTTCATTGTTGGCTTTGACAGCGAACTTTCATACCTCAGAAAATCAGAATACTAATAGAGTATTCAGTCTTAAAACATAGTACTCACGTATGAATAAGAGGGTTGAAAACTGGCTTCGGCACGATAGGCGGTGGGTAACGGCATACGATTGTAATGACTTCATCTCCATCCATTTCAAGACCAGGATGGAACCGGACCACTATGTTGTTGGTAAAGACACGAAGAGGATCCTAAATCGAAGATCATAGTTAAATTTCCTGATATATACGGTAAGAATCTAGTAGAAATACCTGTTCAGAGAATAAATAAAAAAATAAACTACCACGTAAATAATTTGAAATAAATGTTTTTAAAATCTAAATAACGACAAAATTAACTGCGAAGAAAATAATTATCTTATTAACCTTAATTACGTCATTTTACTAGCATCTCGTAAATTTTATGATCGAATCTCAAAAACCCTAAAAATATATACCAGGTGAAAGGGAAAATCTAAACTTATCCCTTATTTTGTCTCCTAAATTTGGTATAAACCCAAAACTTGGCAACACGGTAAGAACATAAACGAACCTGCTTTGTTCCGCATCCTTTTAGCGGTAGTTCCAGCTTATACGACAGAGCGCCTTTACCGCGCACTTGGCAAGCCGAATTCCTGTCGAAGTCCGCATACGCTATGCCGTAGAATTTCTCGTTAAATTTCATTTCAATCTGTAAACAACGGTTTACTTTATTATCTTTTGTTGTAGTAGTTACATATTTTTATATGTTTACGTGGAAAAAGTGTCAGTGGTCAAAGTAAGTTTGGACTACTATCGGTTATTAACAGTCGCCTAAAACAGCATTATACTATAGTCTATCAAGTTCCATTAAATATAATGTAGACTTTAGCAATAAATGATGATAGATGATGAAGCAATTCTATCGTTGCTTTTCACTGAGTGAGTGAAGTTACCGGAGGTATAACTGGGGAGGGCTGATATTTGCCTCCTGCCACATCCTGGGGGTGGCACTTGAAGGGTGGCAACTAGAGGATTCGATCCCGGATCTCGGGATCCCGGGATCCCGGTCATATTTTAGTCCCGAAATTTTCGGGATCAAATTTAATGAATCTTGGGATTTCGGATAAAATTTCTGGGCAATTTAATTAAAAAATATGAGTAGGTATCTATAAACATTGGTCTCTTAAGCATATAGTTTTTTTTTATAGTTTATCTAAATAAGTCAAGTAAATAAGTAAGCCAAAACAATCCCGGGACTATCCCGGGATCCCGAAATTAACTGTAGATAATCCCGAGATCCCGGGATTATAAAAATCGACCGGGATCGAATCCTCTAGTGGCAACTGACTTGTATATCTCGAGTTATAGGTCTTCATCGGCAATAGTGGTCACTTACCATCAAGCAATCCGTCTGCACGTTTACCCCTCGTTAACCCCTTAATAGAATATTCTTTATTGTACACCAATTACAATATGTTTGATAAACATTACAGACGGATATGTATCATGGGCGGCTTTATCGCTAAAAGGCAATCTTTTACAGGCAACCTTTGGATGCAGAAATCGACAGTAGATGAGAAGAAACAACGGGTAGTCTAGGTGAATTGAAGCTACAGTAGTGTAAAAATAAATATATAAATTATATATAACTATACATATACACATATATACACTTAAATAATAAATACAACATACATACATTAATAACCATGAAATCCCCACATAGAGACACATAGATAAATTCTTCTGCTAAGTCAAATTAAAATGTCAGCATACATAAATAAAATACATATTTGTTACATTGTGTATTTTATTCCTTTGTGGTAATTAAATTTTTGTCATCTTAAAATGCATAATTTTAATGTTCTTTTAGTTAAAAATATATTGAGGTGTGTTTGTATGATAATCATTATAAATTGCTGCACAACTAGGAAGTAACAAAATTATCAAATGCTTCCAACATTGTTTTAGCAATCAAAAGTCAAATATTCAACAATAATACAGACAAAACTAAAAGCGGTTTATTCAATCTAGGTAGCTTTATTATTTTCAGTTATTTTTATGTTTATACGTACCCGTAATTCTCTTATACTTTTTTAATTTTGATCTATGTTATTGATGAAATTTTCTGTATGTGTTTCATTTGCAACCTTTACATTTATTGCAACCGGCTTTTAGGATTCCTATTTTTTGTTTACTCAAATTGTATTAATATATGCTTAACTGAATCCGTGTGGTGACGGATTAAGAATACGGAGTGTCACCACCCCTATTCATACCGCGGGTGTCGTAAGAGCCGACTAAGAAAGCAAACTACGTAGGACAATCACTGTAAAGAGAAGGAAAACTTGAAATCAACCCTATACCAACCCGTATGGCCAGCGTGGCATAGTACCTCCTTCCTAAACCTCCTTCCTAAGGAAGTAACCGGCCTAAGTCCAGCAGTGGACTATTAAAGGCTGTTGATGTGATGTGTGCGATGTGTTTAACAGTAACCGTAGATGGTTCAAAGGTTTTGTGTGTGTGTGAATTGCTGTTTTAGGTGAGTTTCTAGGCTTTTATGAATGGTTAAACTTCAAATTTGAACCCCGCTGTTGGCGCTGCATTCGTCCAAGATTTTATTGTATTTCTAAGAAGAAATCTTTATATTTATTTTACTAAATATGTGACAAAGCAGTTTGTTATTACTGTGTGTGTTGATCTATGACTTTAGAGACAATTTTAAACAATTTAAAAGAATTTTATGAAATAAAGATATTTTGACTCTGACTTTACGTTCGGATAGAACAATGTCAGTTATGTACACTAGTATATACATATGTATATGTACTAAAATTACATTGCCTGAAATATGAAGGTCTTTCATTTAAATGCAATTCCGTAAATATAACTATATTACGCCAATACTACTTGAGCAATATTTTCAATATAAATAAAAATAAAACATAAAAAACGTGGTGTATTTTCTAAGAGACAGAAAGTTGTAACGCATACTTTTATTAGATAATTCTTTCACACAATAGCATTGAATATTTAAAAAAATACGTAATAAAAAATGACAATTTAAATTCACAATAGAAGTAAAGAATTTTCGTTTTTTTCTTTGTCCAATCTAAGTAATGGTTGTGAGTTCGTCTGTCAGTCACTTTGACAGCGCAAGCAATATGACATGTCGTGTGTTTAGGCCTTAATGTATGTATATTACAGTTAAATAAAGCCCGTTACACTCAAGAACTTTATTAACAATCGATGGATGAACGATTTGGCTGACTTTATATGGTTGGTGTTTTTAATGTTTTTTTAATGTTATGGTGAACGTGGCTTCGTTTAACGAAAACCTTATATGGTAAAGAATCAATATCTGTGCTTTTAACCAACTTCAAAAAGGGAGGAGGTTGTCTGTATGTGTTACGCAATATCTTCTCAATTAGTGAACCCCCATACGTTTCTTCTTCAATTAATCAGACGTAGTGAAGGTTAGTTAATTTTAATTTTAATTAAATATTCCCCCCTCTTAGGATAATTGATAAATCAATTAATATGAGCGCATTGAATTCCGTGATACTTTTTTTAATGTATTTATGTTGGGAATTATCTTGAAAAAAACTGAACTTTTCAAACACTATTTTAGTTACGATCGAATTAAATTTCATACAAAAACTTAGCTTCAAAATTACTCAAAATACAAGCAACTAGTTCCCTGGCAAAGTCGGGTCCGGTACGTAGTTAAGCATAACGTATATACCATGTAATAATTATAATGAAAAAGTAATGTAATTTTTACGTAATTAACTTACATAATTTAATAACTGAAAAATAAACATTTGAATATATAATTCACTTTCCCATTGTATTGTTCTTTCTTTTCTGTTTATACCAGCCAGCATTCTAATTTTGACTTAACAAGAAGATTTCGCATATTAATTTAAATAAAAAAAGTAAACAAAAAAGTTAGCATATCTGCCTGTAAATTTTATTCAAAAAAAAAGAATAACAATGACAAAACGTATACCAACCTGCATAGACCCAGCGGCGCAGTTGAGGGCTGCCTTAGTTCTGTTTAAAAATATAACTGGACTCAGGTCATCCAGTTTCGTAACCTGCAACAAAAGTTAGATTCATTACAAATGGATTGCTTTCAATTTACAAGTAATAAAGTCTATTTAATATACCGTCAATATGCCTGAAAATACTTTGCAGTTTTTCAAGTAAAAACTTTAAAACGTATTTCATCATTATGATGATCATCACAACCCTGATATTTTTCCAATTTCGATTGAGATTGGCGTTATGAGAAGTGCCCCGACTGCTACGCCGGAGGTCGTGGGTCCGACTCCCACCCAGGACAAATAATTGTGTGATGAGCACGATCATTTCTTCTGTGTGTGGGTGTAATTTATCTGTAAAATGTATGTATATAGAGATACATATATAAGTAAGTCTATCCGTTCTAGATCCGTTTAGAAATTCCAAACATGGATATAAACTTTCGTATTTAGGTCGGCAACGCGTTTGTGACTCCTTAGTTGCAGACGATCATGGGCGGCGATGGTCACTTTCCATCAGATGTCTGCTCGTCTGGCCCCTCTAACATAAAAAAAATTATAACAGTAATAAGATAGTAATATAATGCGATTAAGTCCTAATTACAAACACCTAATGCGCCTAAAAGTCGAAGTCTTTAAAACTTTTTTGTTGTCCAATCAGCGACTTAGTGTAAATACACCCTTAACTTAAAGTACATAAATAAACATGGTTTTGTTTTAACTTTGCAAGATAGTATTGAACCTCGGGGCAGATGAATGCACCAATAATTCTATTTTTAATATTTCATGCTCAAGTTTGCTATAAATCTGTTCTACTAATTATTAGCCTTGGGCTCTCACTATTGGTGGTGTGTATCCATTATACCACGTCATTAATTTCTTAAACGGGGATAACCGTTACGAGGGCTGTAGAACATCGTAAATTCTTTTTTTGACATCTTGTACCTGTATTGTATAAACAAATTTCATAAAAGAAGAGTTCTAGAGAACTCTAAAGAGAGAAGAGTTGAAACTAGTAAATAACATTATTATTAAATGGTAATTGTGTACTCTCTCACATTGAAAGGTAATAAATTTGAAATTATTTAGTACAGTTTTGGAAATTTCGACATACATACGGCATTTGTCCATTTCCATAATGCTACTAGCACTATGTGAGACATATAAACATTTTCTGTTTAAATAATAATAACTACACAGATCGCACACACGGCAGTCTGGTCCCAAACTAGGCAGAGCCTGTACAATGGTAACCAATCTGCTGATAAACATACTTATATATTTCTAAATACATACGTATTATATCACACAATATTTGTCCTGGGTTGGACTCGAACCCACGACATCCGAATTAGCAGAGATTAGTCAGAGTCACAAACCACTAGACCAACAGGCCCGCGATAATACTCAATGGCTACAAAAGTCTCTTGATTTTATTTTCCCTCATTGTTAAGATAACTCACATGATAATTTATTTGTAATAGTGTGAGTCCCTCCCCTGAGAATTAAGGGAAAGGAGGGTTTAGTCTCTAGTAACATAAATCACTGGTAAAAAGCCACAAAAGAACTGCCTAACACCGATTTTCTATGAGGCCGTGCTATAACTCCGATCAGTCAGTCCTTTTGTGCCAATGATGGCTCTTGATGAATCAATCACTCAACTTTCTTTTAAATGTATCCTTCTTTGTCTCCTGTCTCCGTTTTGTTACTTGCCCTGCTAAGTAAAACAGTAAATCTTCAATTGTCAAATGACGTGTGACAATGGAAACACTCCTATTGAATAGGTTACTTTATTCCCGATAGCTATAAGTACATTGTACTCAACGCCACAATATCTTAGGTCGAGGCTGGTTCTGTAGCTGTATTGACACTTATCGTTGATGGTACGTGTATTGGATCTGGGTTGCGATGGTATTATAAAGGTTATATAAAGGCATCCATACTTATGTTATAAATGTGCAAGTGACTTGGTTTGTTTGTTTATTTGCAACGCTTTAACGCCACAACCTCTAAACCGATTTTGAACAATTTTTCAATGTTGAGGAATGGTAAGCTGCATTATCAGCGAGTAACATAGGTCTTACTTAACCTTTTTACCTCGATAACCGACATATTCGCGGGCGGAGCCTCGGGCAAATCCTAGTATTATATAATGGACATCGACCTTGTTGTATACTTAAATATGGTATATAGATTTTATTAATTTATGCCAATATTAATCAATATTTCAATAAGTAAGATTATTGTCCATTGTTGTAATATAATCTATAAGCGATGTTTAACTTTAACGCAATTTAAATGGAGCACTACCTGCTGTATACGGACTTTTTTTTAGGTTACACCCGAATGCTAAACTTTTAATTTTATTTAAATTTAACGAAAAACAAGAATACGACAACAATAAATCGTAGTAAAAAAACTTGCTGTTGTAAGTTTTCATTTAACTGTTCTAAGTTTTTATCTAATAGAAGTTTAAAAAAAAATAATCGAATATAACATAAGTAGTTTAAGTGTTACGTAAATCACCAAACCAAACTTGCTTATGTGGTGCTCTTGACCTAGTCACCTCATCAGAACTGTGCTGACCGCAAGATAGAGCGGTAAGACTGACTCTCGTTTTTGATCAATATGCTCTATCGAACAGAAAATACTCCGTGTGTAGGTGGAAATTGCTCATGAACCGGACACACAAGCCAGTGTGTCCGGTTTATGAGCAATCTTATTTTCACATTGAAATCATTATCTTTCTGCTGTTTTTTGCTGCCAATTTTATTTAGGCTCGGCGCCATGTGTGATGTTGTTGGCCGGACAACTGTTTTTTTTTATGGTATAGGGAGGCAAACGAGCAGACTGGTCACACGATGATAAGTGTCTACCGTCATCCATAGACACCTGCAACTCAAAGAGTCACAAATACAGACAGAATCTAGGGGAGGGAAGGCTTTGGTAACCTCAGTTACTCGGTGAAAAACAACGAAAGGTCTGCTTAACACTGTTTTTTTTGTGAGGCCGTTGTATCACTCCGGTAAGCCTGGCCCATATAGGGTCGGTGGTGCAGTGGTAGCGTATGCGACTGCTGTGCTGAGGTCTCGGGTTCGATTCCCGGGTCGGACCAAATCTTTGTATGATCTGCAAATATTTCGAATAGGCGGAGTGATACCACGGCCTTACAGAAAACCGGTGTTAAGCAATTCTTTCACAGAGCGAGTGAGGTTACCGGAGCCCAAATCCCCCCTCCCGCTGACTCGAGCGGGAGGGACTCCAAGGGCGGCAACGCACTTGTGAGAGTTGCAGGTGTCCATGGGCCCCGGTAGTTGCTTACCATCAGGTGACCCGTCGGCTCGTTTGCCCCCTACACACTAAAAAAAAATGTTTCGGAGTTTGAGTGTGGGGAATTATGTATGTATTTACAACAAAAAAAGTATCTAAGTATTCTATCAGTCTATCTAGCTTTCATAGTACAAGCTCTGCTTAATTTGAAACTAGATGGCGCTGTGTGTCAGATGTCCAAGATTATTGTATGTTCCTAAGCATGACTCTCCTACGTGAATATTAGGAATAAAATCGTTTTGAGATGGGAAAAAGGAAGAAGAATTGAGATAAGGTAAACGGTAGGGCGTGAGAATTAGGTTACAGTATTAGGTTCCGTTACCTGACCCTGCAATGGCTCGAAGGGTCGTGTATCCGTATGTCTGTCCTAATGAGACAATGCTATATTTTGACATCTTTAACCTTTTCTGCTGATGGAGTCGGAAGGTCAATAGAGGAACTCTTAAGTGGCTACTCGATAACCACTCGAGTTTAGACTCATATTTTTTTTCTTTTTTTTTAAAAGACAACTCCCGCATTAGGAATAAGTATATCCTGTGTCGCGGGGGACTTAACAAACATACATGAAACGGACACAAAGAACACCCAGACTCATAACAACAATTTGTGGATCACACAAACTGCTGTCCCATGTGGGGATCGAACCCAGAACACTCAGCGCAGTAGGAAGCGGCGAGGTGACCGCTTTAACCGTAACACCACCCGTGCAGTCTATATTTATTTATTTCAATATTCTATATATTTTATTAAACAACTTTAATGTATCAAGACTGCTTGTAAAAAAAATGAATTTTCTCTCACCTCAAGTCGTGTGTGAATCGACCTTTAAAATCAAATGCATTTTAAACGTTACATTACTATCTGTCCGTGTTTGACAATTAAATGCCGGCCATGATAGTCACGAAACTAAACGCGGAAATACTTTTATAATAACTGTAGTTTTTTGCATGTTTAAAGGTTTTTTGACGAATTCTAAATGACAACGTTTATTTTTGTTTTGAAAATTAATTTTAATCTCTTCCGTAACTAAATTTTATTTTACTAGTTCTCGTAAAAGCAGTTTTGAAACCCTAGGAAACATTTTTTACCCGATATTCTTCTCTGTAAGTAAAATGTCACGATGAGTAAATGAACGGTATTACAGCGTGTACAATATAAACAAACCAACTTTGATTTACATTTATCATCATCATCAGCTATCGCCTTCCAATGCTGAGAGAACGCCTTCCCCAAGAAGTGCTGTCTATCTCGGTCTTCCATCCAAAATTATATACAAATAAAATGACTAATTCATAAATGCGAATGTTTGTTGGTTTATAAGGTTTTCACGTCTTAACCTCAATAAGAAAATCTAGATTATCGACAAACACTACTATCGAATATTTGTATTTAAATACTTTCTTCAGTCGATGTAATCCAACTGATTTGTAAGGACCAACATAAGATAATACTTTAAGGTAATATACGTACTTTCCCATCCAACACGGTCTGTTCAGGCAGTCCCTCACCCTGATACTCGATGTTGTTCGCTTGGGACCCATAATTCGATTGCGCTTGCGCAGCGACTAAAGCGCACGCCAACACATACCAAAATAACGCCATCTTTTATCTGAAACAAGGAGACATTTATTACAAAATAGAAATAGGTACGAGTATGTAGTACAGAGCCACAGATCATAAATGTAACGGAAAAGCATGTTTTTTTTTTTAAAACAGCTCCCGCACTAGGAAAAGTTTCTGGTTCGCGGGGGACTTTACAAACATAAGTGAAACGAACACAAAGAACAACATCATTTAGAACAATAATTCGTGGATCATAAAAATGGTGGTCCCGTGTGGAGGTCGAACCTACACCACACAGCGCAACAGTAAGACCGCTTAAACCACTACGCCATCCGTATTGTAATGTAAATGGGTGCAATGCCTAAAATAAATAGGAAATGTATGTTTTGCAATATGCTCTTTGGTGGGCAGGCGTATTGAGCCGCCGGGCTTATGTGTAGCCCAGGATAAGACAGAGGCACTCTTATGTCATGGGCCCCATCGTGGTGCACCCCCTGACGCCTCAATCGTAGTCAACTCGGTTATAGTACCGGTTCAGGCCCAGATAAAGTATCCTTGACGAGTGTAGGCTCTTCGACGAGCACTTACGACAGCATACTGCAGAGCTCTTTGGCGCTGCGTCTGCCTTCGGGTGAATTTTGTCTAATTTTAGTAAACCCAGAATCGTGACAAGTCGGCTGTATACGGGGGTTCTTCGGTCAATGGCACTGTACGGTGCACCGGAGTGGACGGCGGCTCTGACCGCCCAGAATAGGGCGCACCTCGGCGCCCTCAGAGAGAATTCGGGCGGCCCCCAAAAGATGTACGCGGGTGGCGCGAGGCTCGTTTGTCGTCCCGGCTGGAGTCTCCCGTGCTGGCTTTGCCACCATAGAGGTGCTCCTGCCGGTCATCGTCGAGTGGGCACAGCAACAGCAAGGAACCCTTTCTTTTCGAATTGAGTCCTGCCACTCAACTCGCTCCTAGCGACCGAGTGCAGAATCAGACGTGCTCGGAAAGGGCCTACATCACTAGAGTGATCACTGGTGCTCGGGGCCCCCAGATGCGAGAGGCCCGTAGCATTTGATACTCTCGCTGGCTAATCAGTGGGATTCTGATTGTCATCTTTTTTATTTCATAGGGCACTTCACGAGCAGACGGGTCACCTGTTAGCAAGAGACTATTCTCCGTGTGGGCTCCGGTTACCTCACTCACAATTAAAGCAATTATATACTATAATATACTGAATGAGAATGATATTGTTTTTACGAGCATTTAATGCGTCTGCGCCATTGACAACCCTGTTTTAAGCAACTAGAGAAACACACTTAGTTACTTACACTAACAGTCAATGAGATGTATTCAAGCGCAGTCACATAGAAAGCTATCTCAAGCCGATATCTTTGTAAAACGTAGAAAGTAGTATCTCACGTTACGGAAAATGGAAAACTGTTTTTGTGACATTTCTATATGGTTCGTTTTCACTCGGAGAGAACTTGTTGTAGTTTTATTTTCTCCAACATTTATTGTTGCGATATTCTTTCAATTCACATACCACTTTATTGCTGGATTTATTTAGAGGTAATAGGGTATCTGTGCCATAAAATATTTGAGATTACAAGACTGTCTAACCTCTGGTCTGAAGACAAAGAGCGTTAGACATGTTTCTAATGAGAAAAATAAGAAAGAACCAAAGAACTTCTTAGGAAAATTAACCTAAAACTTAAAATGATTAAGTTTGTGTTTTCGTATTTCTATTGTCTCCATCAACACATTCAGTTTTATTAAAAATAACAAATAGGTATTAATAGTAAAGAAGTTTATTTCACTCTAATAAATGTATTCGATTAAGATCTTATTAAAGTAATTATTTAACCAATAGCGTACCATGGCGTACATGATGATGATTCTTGACATTATCTGACATTAAAACGGTACGAAACTGACAAGTGGACAAGGATATGCGCGGGCGCAGGTAACCTTTCACCGCACAAGGTCACCCGCCGCCTGTGTCGGCATGTCGCCTGACCAGCTGTTATTGTCTATAAACTATGAATGCTATGATATCATTCTCTATGGTGATTTGAATATTTTATATCTAACTTCTCATATTGACGTACAAAACCTCGAACATTGAGCTTAGAAATAATGGTATTTAGTCATAACTAACAGCGATGGTTTAGTCTTAAATATCTAAAGGTATGTATGTCTTTGTAATATGCACGTAACGTCTAATATGTACCTTTCATTTGTTATTTTATGGAACTATTACTATTAGTTTTATTTGAAATAGTATTTTTTGTTATCAGGCATTTATACTTCCTTGTTTAAAGTGTTAAAAATTTCGTTCGTAGGTAGCGGGCCCACACATCGCTTGCAAAACCAAAAAATACCAAAACTTTTTAACGTAACTGTAAATAACCCTAACATTATATGCGGTGTATTTAATTACACAGTGTAATCATCACTGATTACATGTCAGATGTCTGATTACTAAGGAGTCATTTGTCGTTAGACTTCCACGCACGCATAATCATCAAAAGCTTTCTTTATGAACTGCCAATAACAGATATTATTTCACGAATTATAATGGCATATTTGCCATTCGAACCTACACTGGCTTTCAAAAGTAAGGCCTTGGAGCCGACGGGGCCATTATCGAAATCTTCTTTATAATATAGAGTCTAAGTGATAAGAGAAGCGATTTATTAAAAGGTGACTAAGTTTTACACATAAAAGGATAAAAAAACTAAGTCAGTATTGAATACAACTTCACATTTCATAAATCTTTCTTAGTGTATCCCTAGTCTTTATTTGACTTTAATCAGTAAAATGAAATAAAATATAAAAATCATAAATGTTAATAAAATATCTGCATAAATGCAAATCTCTACATAAGATCTCCTTAGTCAATCAAAGTTTATTTGAAAAAAAAATTGTCACAAATTTTCTTATTTTAAGTAAGGAAATTTGTGACAATTTTTTTTTATTTTTATTCATCATCATCATCATCAACAGCCCTTAGCAGTATACTGTTGGACATAGACCTCTCCTTACAATGGATGTTTTAGCCTACTATACCACTCTCGCCAGACGGGTTGGTACAGCGTTTGTTTCAAGTTTTTATCACATTTTCTTTTTATTTTGTAATTGTAGTGTATCTACGGTCTATGCAAATATTATAAAACTGAAGAGTTTGTTTGCTTGGTTGTACAATCTCAGGAGCTACTGTTCTAGTGTTGGATAGCCCATTTATCGAGAAAGGGTCTCAGGCTATATAACATCGCGCCAGGACCAATAGGAGCCGAGTATCAATTGAAAATGTTGTAAAAACAGTGAAAATTTATTCCTTTTTTAGTCATGAACGAGGTGGTCAGCTTTAATAGTATACACTTCGCAGTCCATCGTACCACATATTTACTTAAGGGTGTTTTTTTAAAGACAATTCCCACACTATGAGTATATCCAATGTCGCGGAGGACTTTACAAAAATTCATTCAAACGTACACAAACAACACCCAGACTCAGAACAACAATATGTGGATCACACACTCAGCGCATTAGGAAATGGCGAGGTGACCGCTTCAACCACTACGTCATCTTTAAGAGATCGCTGACTAGTGACAAAAGACCATTAATTATTATTTTTCTAGATTATAAATTACTTTTTGGTGTGCAATAAAGAGTATCTATCTATCTACACATAAGTAGTTCAAAAAAAAACGCTTCAGTTTTCATCTTTAACCAATTGTCGAAATCACAAAAAGCCTGAGCAAATATCATGTCACAGTTGTATCAAGTACCAAAATTTATATTCCAAAATTACGAGTCCAACTGGTTTTGATACTTTAAACGTGAACAACTTTTCAACATGTATATTTTAGCATTTTTATTGCGCACAAATCATCTGTTGCTTTATAAAACAAAATAAAATAAGAACTTATATGGTTTTATATCATCTTAAATGATATTTCCAAGAGAGTGCTGTATAAATAACTCCAGGTCCATCGCATTGGTTGTCGTTATAATTAGCACATCAATAAATATATATGGCGGTTCTTAAAATATTCACACATTTAATTGCAGTCCCGTTTCACGTTTAGTGAGAAGAACAAAAATAAAATTATAATTAATTTACAACTATTAAATATGCCCAAATAATTAGGTATTCCCGACATGACGAGAATAATTATTTGTTGAAGATATTAGAACTTATAGGTATCTTCGTAAAAAGCATTATTTGTAAGCTGAAATTGCTCAAAGACAACAGTAAACAAGCTAATTAAAAAAAAAGTTTTAAAAACCAAAAAACACGCCTGTTGTCAATAGTAAAAAGCACCCCACGCTTTTTTTCAAATTTATTTTCTATTTTTTAGTTTGATTTTGTATAGAAAGCGTGTTTTTTGGTTTTTTAAAACTATATTTTTTTTATTTATTTTTTTAAAGAAGAAAGAGAAAGAAAGTTAAAAAGTTAGTTAAGAAGTAGAAAGTTTGAACGAGTTCTGACCGTTTAAAGTCAATCAAAATCACGCCCAAAGGAGTCGGTTACAAACACACAAGTGAAGCTAATATAAAGCGTGTAAAAAACCAAACCAAACCGTGAAAATTTGTACTTAATATTAAAAACTCGGCGATTTTAGTTTTTATAATTTTCGTAACAACCCACAGTGGGTCACTACCCACTATCACAATTAAGACGAATTTCATAACACCTCCAACGTCAAAATCCATCAAGCCGTTTAAGGTACATGGCACACTGAAGAAATATATACATACATTTGCACACTGGAAAACCATAACCCTCCATTTGGCGCAGGCGAGTAAAAAAATGAAGAATAACTAGCAACTGACTTCTACGAGTATATTGCAAAAACGCTTATGACAGGTACCAAATAATTCAATTAGGACCTTGTGCAGGGGACATCTCCCACGGAGCCACTCACGCGCATCTAATGGTACAGTCGCAGGCGCTAACATGCGTGTATAAATTACTTGTATTACGGTGTAAGACCAAAGTGTCTTTACACGTGTCGTGTACATATGAGCGGATAACTTTGATAGAAAAGAAAA